GAGTTAAATAAATACAGGGTAATGGCGGGGTTCTAGGACTAAAGGTTATATTAAAGGAATTAGGTTAACTTTTATATAAGTTAGTCAGTAAAAGTTAAATTAACCTAAAGTTAATAATAACTCTACTAATTAAATATATATATTTAGGTATATAACTAATTAACCTTATATCTAAGAGCTGCAGATAAAGTAATATTAATAAAGAAGTAGTAGGTTAAACTGGGGATATTTAATAGTTATAGCTATTATAAAGAACTTTATATTCAGGAGTCTATTTAGCTTAATTAAAATAGCTTTTATAATTATATTAATAAATAAAATAACTTTATATAAAAAGTAATTTAATAATATAATTACTAAAGCTAAATATATATATTATATTATTTTAATTATATATAATTAAAAAACAAATTATAGTTTAAAATTATAAAAGTAAAGAAATAATATATCTAAAATAAATTATATAACATTAATAAAATAACTGTAATTTTATAAAAAAAGGAATTATATTATTAAAATATATAAACTCAAGAAAAATTAAACTTAAAAAATAAGCTTATTATAATATCTCTTTTAATAACTAATAATTTTAATAAAAAACAGTAAAGTAATTGTAAAATAAGTATAATAATTAGAATATATTAATATAGCTTTTTATACTTTTCTAATTAGTATAAATTGTTACCTGCCCGCAGAGTAGGCACGATTTTATAGCCTGAGGCCACAACTGCTAAAGATTCCATACCCCACCCAGACAACTTAAAAATGTCATTCGACAAACTGCTGTGCTCATTTTTACTTCCCTGGTTACCCGTCTCCTATAATAAGAAGCATTAGTCAACGACCATAGCTTCAGGCTACCCTGCAATCTATCATTCTCCTCATTCTTCCCGCTCCAGCACCAAACTTAACGTGTGTCGGTTATGCCTCTGTGCAGTATTTGCCTCAACATCAACTTCGGCACTATACTACAGCCACGTACAGAAGGCTACCCTGAGCCCACTGGTGGATGGCCTCGAAACTTCGAACTCTACTACTACGATGCGAGCGATTGGAGGGATACTGATTTTGAAAAGGCTCTTGTGCCTCATCAGGACAGCCTTGACAATCTCCAAGCTAGTGCAAGGTCCTGTGAGCTGTGCCAGTTCATTGAGCGCTGCGTGTTAGAAACACTCGCAAAAATCAAGGCATCGAACGGCTTAGGCTTCCGGCATATTGCGGAATCAAATTACACGTTCTGGCTGTCAGGCAGGAATGAAGCGGATGGATTTCAGATCATCGGCTGCCACAATGAACCAAGACACCAGTACCGTATCATGGGTGGCGGTGGAGTCTGTGTCAGCAAAGGTAGGGGCTCTAGAGAATGATCTATATAAGGAAACATGAAGAATCGCGCTTACGCTTTATTCAGATAGCCCACTAGCATGTGTTGTCAAGGGACGACCAGTTTCCCCAGACCCTATGTTTTCTTCCATCTTGGCCCACATTCCCGGTTTGATACAAGATTGCAAAGAAAAACACGGACATGTTGAACACGAGAAGGGGGAGGCCCCAACCAGGATACTGAGAATCGAAGACAATGGTCAGACAATTACGCTCGGAGAGGGAAACATGAATATCGAAGGCGGATATGCAGCCCTTAGCCACTGTTGGGGAGACGGCCCTCAAATCACTCTTAATACTGGCTCCTTCACGAAGCTGACAAAAGGGATGAATGTAGCTGACCTCCCCAAGACATTCCAAGATACCGTCCGGGTTGTCAACCAGCTTGGGATATCATATCTTTGGATTGATAGCTTATGCATATTCCAGGACGACCCGAATGACTGGGCACGTGAGTCGGCGCGCATGGTCAAAGTTTACGGGAATGCAACCGTCGCAATAGCAGCGAGCCGAGCAACGAACAGTTCTGAGGGTTTTCTGGAGAAGCGTATTCAGCAGAACTATATCGCCGCTCCGTTCCGCCATGGTCAAGTTTCTGGAGAAATCTTGATCTTCCCCCTTCATGTTAGAAATGTCGGGGATACATCGCGCTATGCTCGCCTTGAAGATGAACCCCTGACAAATCGAGGATGGGTACTGCAGGAGCGCTACCTGTCTCCACGTACAATCCATTTCGATAGCTCCCAGGTGTGCTTCGAGTGCAAAAGGACATTCATTACTGAAGACGGCTGCTCAGCAAGCCCATCGCGCCTTAATTGGCAATATAAGTTACCAAGTCCCGATTCCTGGGAGGCAGATTGGAAGCAAGTCGTCTGTTTATACTCTCAGCGTAAGCTGACAATCAAAACTGACAAGCTTCCCGCAATAGCCGGCATTGCGGAATACTTCTCAAACATTGTAGCTGCCGCATCTATCGATAGTTGCTACCTGGCTGGTTTATGGCGGACCAACATCATCTTCGGTCTTTGCTGGCAAATCGACGCTCGCAAGGATTTCCAAAGACGAGAAGGCCAGTATCGAGCGCCCACGTGGTCTTGGGCTTCATTGGATGCGGCGATATGGTTTCCCTCTGTGAAATATCCTCTGGCTACTTTCCAGAATGCGCATGTGGCCCTTGACTCACATGAGAGTCCTTTTGGCAAAGTAACTGGCGGCTGGATCCTGTTAAGGGCAAGAAAGTATCACCTATTCAGTAAAGCCGGCAACAACACGAAATTTACAGTTTCATTCCATGCGGAGGGGCCAAACTTTGATATCTCTGTCTTCTGGGAAGATCAGAGGGAGGTATACGGTTTACCAACTATCATGGATTTAGTAGATGATGGCCCATACAAGACGCCTTTTCTAGCAATTCCGCTGGCCTGCTGTGAATCTGGCGTTGACTCTGATTCAGATGAGATGACAATTTTCTGTATAGTGGCAAAAGCGGTGGAGAATGACTTGATCTCACATGGTGGAGTTCCGACCTTTAAGAGAGTTGGAAGCGCAACTTTAAATCTTACAGACAGAGACTGTTTGAAGAGTTTGGGATTATATAATTGGATAAATAGATATACTAAGAATGTAAAGCATAACTTAGAAGATATAAAACTTATTTAAGTAAGTAATAGCTTATTAAATAATAATTGAAAAACTTTAATTTAAGCAATATACTTTATATAGTTATTTATAGATATAAAGAAGGAAGCGAACTGAAAAAAGCGAGACCCGGGCCCGATATACAAAGCCTTTAGTATGAACCGTGCTTAATTATGGCGCCTTTGGGCTTGCCAGTTGTGTCAGACGTGAAGATTACGTATGCAGCGCTGGAACTTGGAATATCCGGGAATGGACCAGCGAAATCAGGCAACGTGCTCATGACCTCTTTGCTGATCACGATGGCAGTGGCGTCCCAGTCATTGGCCATGTCCTTGTATGTGGGCGAACACAGAGCCGCATATGTCTTGGTCTGTTCCATTATGTACTGTATATGCTCTATGGGCGCTTCTGCATAAGCGCAGTGCCTGCCTTGATGATGGTGAGATACGCAATGGCGGCCCACGCTGATTTCTCAAAGCAGACAGCAATGAAAGTATCAGGCTTGGCACTTTGCCTGAGATGAAGACCAGCCAGACGTGATGAGTCCCTGTCCAGCTCGGCGTACGTCAAGTCCCCATCCCACGCGTGGATAGCAGGTGCTATTGGTGTGCTGCGGACCACGTCCTCGAATAGGTCGTGAACACGTCTGTCGACGATGGGAGGGAGACGATTGACCCACGACTTGAGCTGATCTATGTGATGCGCGGGCACAAGATCGAGAATCTTGATGGCATATGATGGAGTGACTTGAATAGCACCAAGAGCCCAAAATAGGCTCTGGGAGACATTGTTGGTGTGGGACTCAGAAACGAATGAGGCTCAGTTTTGAATTGAAAACCTAATGCTCGAGTCAAACCTGACGAGGGTGATTGTGACGTCAAAGTGTCATGTATCAGCTTTCTACTGTCTCTGAAAGGTTGGCCGTCGTCAGCAGGGGTCAACATACCTCTGTGGGATCAGCTCCCCCAATGGAGCGGAACGAGAGTGGAAGGCCCTGAGCCTTGGCAGAACCATTGGACTGGGAGATCTTAAAGAATGAAAAGGCTGCGTTGAATAGCTTCCCACCAGGCATCTTGAGTGTGTGCGTGATATCAGTCAACGACGCATGCTGGTGCGGTAGACTGTCCAGATACGTGGAAAACAGCTGTTTGAGCATTGCGGCAGCTTTATCCCCTCTACCAAAGACTATGCAGGAGATCAGGGTGTTGATGAATGGCCCTACAGCGTCTGTGATGCCATCAAGCTCGATATCTCTTTCTGAGCAAACACGGCCAAAACATATGTCCTGGAGATTAGTGTAGGACCGGAGCACCAAGGCCCACGTAAGTTGGAAGATGCTGGCCATGGAGATGTTGAGCTGCTTTGCTAGGGCCTTGGGACGGGTTCTTGAGTCCACGTCGGTATGATAATAACGGATCCTACGTTGAGCTGTGGGTGCAAGGCCATCAGTGAGTTGGGTAAGACGGCATGCCGTTGCACCCTCCAGCTGGTCTGACCAAGGGCGAAGGGATGCATCGAGGGACGTCTTTTGGATATGGGCAATATTGGCTGAGTAGGGTGTGCCAGGAACTATGGTGAGGTTGGGGTTTGCATAGGCGAAAGCCCAGTCCCTGATGATAGTCCTCAAGGGACCCGCATCGATCAAGGCGTGGCTCACCTGGAAGTGTACGTAGACCTTTCCTTTGGGACCGACACAATGCCAAGGCGGTGTGCAGGGGCATCTGGTGCAAAGGTTCCATTCGCCGACTCCGAAAGTTCTTGCACCATAGGGTCATAATCATTATAGTCATTGTATATCAGTAACTAATATAGGGACAGAACTTGTTGAGGACAACCTAGTTATGTGGTGAGTTATTGATGAAACTGTCGATGAATACAGAGCGGAGCATAGAATGTTATTGGGCGACGCGGTGCCAAGCACGCTGGAAACCCGAAACGTCTGTCAACCTGCGATTCTTGACCGTTGGTAGGAGTAATCTCCCAGAACTGCTGAACATCATACGCCGAGGCATCCTGAGAAGGACACCGCGCTGCATGGGCGACGTGGGATAGATATCCTCTACTACCTCAACACCATTGCCAAGACAGCTGCTAGTGCCTCGTTGAGTGGCTTGGGTTGTTGGTGGCAGATTGGTAGAAGGGGCACGTCGCTCTTTGTGAGTTGCAGGGATGTCTGCTGTAGTGCAGAGGCGACCTCGCGCAGTACTTGCTCATAGAGGGCAAACCACTTAGACAATCTGTCCTGATGCTGAATCTGTGCACCATAATTCCAAGAGACGGTCAAAGCATCTTGTCTCCACGACGGTAGAGGTATCAACAACTGATAGGCGGGTAGCTGAAAGGTTGAAATCGATAGGGCTCAAGGACCTTGGAAGAGACTCGAAAAGCCCATTGCCGCGCTCGAGCTGTTGGAACCGGCCGAGATAGTTGAACAGGATCTCCACCGGTAGAGTCTGTGACCTTCGAAGTGCTTTGGCTGTGAAGTAGGGCACTCCCAGACCTGGTATAGCACGACGGATCTCTTTGATAAGGATGGCAGAGTCAATGTAATCACTCGGGGCGTCAAGCACAAAGGGGGCAATTGCAGTGAACCAACCGACTGTTTCATGCACTGAAGCCGTCATATCTTGCGAGTGGTCTCGTCCATGAGTCTCAGTGTGGAACGTGGGTACTGCCCTGTCAAAGAACACGGCGGAGAAGATGTGTGCGGCCATGGGTAGTAGGACGTCGAGGACTACGGCCTTGAGGCTCTTCGTCTGCAACGTGAGGAAGGGCTGAGGTGATGGACAGGGTCTAGAGCGAACTCGCCCTGTATCAAATTGTTGAAGTCGTTAAAAGTCTTGTTCGGTGCCCAGAAATCTAGATATGGCTCTGTTGGTGTAAACGGAAGAGCGAGTACAGTCGATGTGTTTGTCTCGGCATTAGACTGTAAACCTATCGCTAGTATGACCAGAATATCTGGGTACCAGGTAACGAAATACCCACAATCAGTTTCTCTAGATCTCGCAGGGTTATCCGCCCTGACACGAGATTCATAAGAAGATGGTGCGCGACCAGGAAGATATACATAAAGCCGTGAACTTGTACTAGCCTGGCTATCATTAGCTGGCTGGCACTAATATCAAGGCCACGCTCGGCTTAGATAATGATATCCTGTGCTTCTTCTAAAGTGTTCAATTCGGCAGCGGCGTAGGAGAGCGAACCTTGGATACCGCTGGTCACCATCTGCGTCCACTGCCTGTTGACCCCTTGTCGAAACGGGCACGGAGCATCGGATGACAACGGACCAACTCCAAAAGAGCTACGTGAAGCACAGTCTCAGATGTAGGAGGTCGTAGCTTGAAGAGCATACTCTGATTAAGTGGTTCTCGCCATCGGGGAAATGCGCGAGATGGAGTCTCTGGATGGGCGAGAGGGGAAAGTGTGTAAGCTCATCCTCTCCTTGGTTGAGCCATCAGAGGAACCCTTCGGCTGCTGTGCCTTGGCCGTCATGGCCGTGATGTTTATGTTGCCGCTCTTGAGTATGTTCTGCACCGGGAGGGAGACCCCTCGTCGTCGACAAAGGGCCACGACCTGCATAGCGGTGATGGGATCGCCTTCCATGCTGATGAATCAGCGCGTAGGGAGACCTGGTCTGCCAGGTTAATGATCTCAGGCACTGCCTCGCTGATAATCTGCTCTACGGGGCTGTGGGCGCTCTCAGGTCCTGCCTCTAGGTCGGTGGGTGCCATCGAAGTTCCTGTTGATGCGCTCGTATACCTCGTCCAGTTGGATCCATTGGCCTCGCACCTTGGACACTGAGCTCACACGAAAGCGAGTTTGTGACCCTTACCCTCAGAGCAGTAGGAGATTAGGTCTCCTGGTCTTCATACACGGGAGAGTCCAGGCACCAGTAGAAGGCCAGTGTCCACAAAGGCCTCTTTCGTCTTGTCAGAGTTGTTGATATATCCGCGAGCCATGATCGGACCCTGGACGAGGAGCTCGCCCATGCCGCCGATGGGCATCAGAACACTTGGATTGTAAGGATCAACCAGCCACGTGTTGCAACCTACAGAGCCGCCAATGACCCTAGGATGTGGAGGGAGTCCGGTCCTATCGTCATAAGCACACATGACGCAGAATTCCGTTGGTCCGTACCCGTGGAGGGCCGTGCAGCCGCCCTTGCTCCATTTCTTGTTCGTCTCTTAAGAGACGTTGAATTGGCTAACATGAAATGGTCCAAGTGCGATAAAATAAGACAAGTTTGATAAGATGGAATGATAAGTGTGCACGGGCCACAACCACAGGCAACTTCGACTTCACTTCACCTTACTCTTATGCGTACATTGATGCGATGTGAAGGCCACTACAGGAGCAGCATAGGTTGATGAGTTGGCCGCTCAGTTCTCTACTGGCTGCTAGGTTTTAAAGGAATTTGATTGTTTAGGTGAGCACCATTGGAATGAATTGTCTATGTAGCTTAGAAATGCTTGACATGAATGTTTCGCTTAAAAAGCATCATTGAAGACAATCAGGGTGATGCCTTAGCCAGTTTTAATGCTAAGCTTTAAAATGACGTGCAAACTACGTGCTGGTGATATCGAAGGTCATTTAAGTCTTGTCTTAACTTACTGAGCAATTATCTCGCAGAGATATCCCCTTCCCCAACGACGCAAAAGATGCGGGTTCCGGGTAGTTGGTTCTCACTCGGGTCATCGACAAGCTCGACATCCTTAATCAGTGAGGGATATTTATGTTCTGTGTCTTCACAGCATAAAGTACCAAAATCAGAGCTGAAGCATTGAGCGACTTGGTCTGATCTGATTGACTTGGTGGAGTGTCAGTCCGGATTTCCGGAAGACAAATTCCGTGCATTGGAAGATTTGTCTAAGGTGGCAAATGCCCTACGATTGGGGGGAAGGGCCTTAGCGGCAGAAAGCTTTACCGAGCTGTGACTCGCAGATGTCCCGGTCGGATTATGGCCCGTGTTATATAAGTGATGGTCGCTTCGGTGAGTTCCTGTTGAAGGCAGAAGGCCCGCTCCAAGCACGGTTTGACGTCGGGTGATTAACATTTAGTAGCTCCAAGATTGGTATCAGCCGTTTTCTGAAGCTAGGTTGGCAGTAATTCCATTTTCACAAGAACACAACCCTTCGGTTCCACAGCAGGTAAATCGGCTGCCGTCAGGTCGTGATGCCTTTCTCAACGCCACGTTCCTTGCAGAGCCCGCTTGTCTATCGCCACAGCAGTAGAAGAGTAACGTATCTTTGATTTCAGTATCTCGAGAAATCAATGCCGGAAATGCGCCGCGTTGGACTCCGACCTTAGGAGCGACTATGTAGAACCCCACGATCTGGGAATGAGAGTTCGGCAATTCCTGCTAGGTACTCCGCGCTTGGCGGTTCGAAATCGGTATTCCGGACTCCGGCAATCGTTGCCTGTATCTCTGGGCCCCGAAGACCATTACTGATATGATTTCTGTAAATTCCGTTCTGGAAACCCGATCTCTGGATGATGTAAAACCTGCTATGGGCTCTGCCGGAAATCAGGCTTCGGTATTGTATAGTAGTTAATTGAACATCAATGACCGTCCTATATATGCAAAAAGGCTCGGCTTTTGAGTTCTTCTGGGAGGTAGTGTAAGACACTTATTCTATATAAATTCAGTGCCCGGAACACAGAATCTTGTGGATGAAAACAGCGAGATAGAGGAGCAGAGAAGCAAAAAAAGTAGTTCGTATAAGGTGATTACGTTTCAAAGGCTGGTAATAGCCCGCTGACAGACTCAAGTCGATCTGTAAGATAGCCGCTTAAATAAGAATTCAGGCCGATTTAGGTTGCAATATAAATACTATTCCACCATTACCAAAGAGCTGTATATATCTCAGGAGGCGCAATATGATACTATTTTGCAGACCCGAAGCAGTTAAAAAGTCGAAACTTTAATCATTTCTAGCCAACATCTCCGTATCAAAAGTACCGTCGTAGATCGAATTTAACTCTCCGAGACACTAGAAGAGCTATAGGCGGTAGATATCTAAGCTTTAGACTTTAAAGCTAGAGGTGTCTCTAGCCTTGTAAGATTATCTAGACAGGTCCAGGTATTAGTAGCTTTGCACAGATGGCAAGAGCCTTCTACTCGAGCTGCAGAATCTCGCATAATATCTAAAGGAAGTATATAGGTTCAAACTTGATGTAAAAGAGCTTAATGTGTTAGCTTTTGCTCGGGAGCTAAATGCATCCAGCGGTCGTATGTCGTCTTACGGGCAAAGAGCAGAAACAAATCCTGACATAGCTTGATTTCTAGCAACTAGGAAACGAGGTTTATTTTATATCCCAGCCTTTGCAAATTGGCAATCTTTAGAAGCGAGAATCTGTTTCATGCGATATAGACGCGATGTAGGGTTTCTTGACTAGTTCTTGGTATTTTATTTTATCCTTTTCTGGCAGATCAGGTCATTGTGGACTGTAAAAGGCCAATCTACGAAAGTGCCTGACGTTGCGTCTTCTTGCGGCTGACTGCCTTAGCGGAATGGCGCCAATTGGTTTAATTCTGCTATATGTTATTTGCCATGATTCTCAATTTGTCCCCCAAATGACACATTGCACATCTGATAGAGTGCTGCTCTTGCTGAAAAGTGTTGAGGTTTGGAAGTATTGGAAGATGAGAGTCTTGTTTAGCCAGTCAATTTGAACTAACCCAGCTTCTCAAAAACGTAATACAAGCCATTATGCGGTTCACGCTCGAATTAGTTCTCGTCTAACTATAGAGTTGACAGGCGCGAGGTTGAGACTGTATGAAATAGAGGTAACTTCTGAATCAGACTATTTAAGTTAAAGAAAACACTTCCTCCTTATGCCTAGGGGTTTCGAACTTTATTGCTTCCCCTTCCATAATACCATGGATATAGCACTCCCCTACAAGTGAGTATTTGCCCTCAGCTTCTTTTCTCACCACAAAGGGCACGTCAGACCCATAAAAGATACATACCAAGTCTCCCTTCTTAGCCCTCATTGGGACATAGCCTACCAATCCAATATCGGTTGCAGCAAAGCGCCGTGACTTTGTTAGGCTGGTAAAGGATTCAAGGCCTTTGATTCCCTTCGACCGATCCCTTTGCAAAAGATACTCTGGGACAACATCTACTTCAAGAGTTTGACGGACAAATGATGCAACATCGTCGAGGATGAAATCTCGAAGGGCCTGTTTTCCATCCAGGGTCCGATTACAGACCAGAGTCCGCAAGAAAGGTGCCCAGCTAATCTTCCCAACTGGTTTTCTGGGAAATGTACGCTTGACAACATGGGTTATGAAGGGGTCACGGCAATGGGCCAATCTTTCTGTCGCCGCCAACCAGATGTTCTTCGCCTCTTCGATCATGTTCTTGTTAATACCCAGATGGCTCATTGGTTCGAAGTTATAGAAATGGGCATTTTCGCCGGCAAAAGTGTCTGGTGTGGCAGGTGACTCGTTTCCGACTGTGTGGAGCATGTCGACGATTTTGCCCTTCACGTGGAGAACAGTCTCGTCGTCGGATGTCCATACCTGCTTAGGCAGTTTTGCACTTGCGTTGAATTTTACCTGGTTTTTGGTTCCGGTGAGGCTGCTTTGAGGATCAAGCCGTTCAAAGTCTGGCACCCAAGAAGGCGAAGAGTACTGACTACCAGCTTTATCTGAGCTGCTGCCAAGAGCTCGGAGGCTATTGTTCTCTAAAATATCCCAGAGAACAAAATTACGGAATACATCTCCAGGTGAGAGGGTTGAATCCTTTCTAAGATAGTTGCTTCTTATGTCCTGGGTCGTCACACCAAGCATGCCGAAAATCTTGTCCTCAGATCTTGTGACCAAAAATGATCGGCTGTCGAGGATCAAGTCAAGAAGCTTCAAGTTGTCTTGCGGTTCATGGTAGAACCACAATCGTGGGAAAAAGACCTTCCACTTGTGGTGAAGGACTGATCTTGCTGAAGATATCAGCGATATACCCGAAATGGTGGTGTCCAGCGACTGATAGGCGGGAATATCCTTGTAGACTTTCTTGTGCGCGGTCATGTACTCCACCGACCTCTCAAATACCGGCCACGGAATGGACTGCTTCTCAATGATGACTTGCCCGCGCTTCGCCAGCACGGCCTCTTGGAAGACCCAAGTGCGCTGAAACCAAGGACGGCGGAGTAAGTTGATGATTGGAGTCCAGTTGATTTCATCTTTTGTCAAAAAGCACCATAAAAAGTAAGAGGACCGGAGAGGATCCTTCGATCCCAAACATCTCCATTCTAAATCGGCCCGACGGATGGCTTCTACGGCGCCTTCAACGGAGGGGTCCATTTTGCCTAGGTATATGAGCACCTGTGAGGCTTGAGAGTAGATCTCGCCCATAAGCTTCATCTGAGATGTTGTCTCCTTATCATCAGATTGATTGATACAGAGCCGGTCCGTCCAAAGAACGCGCTCGCGGTCTGGAAGGCGCAAGTCGGATAAGGCATCATGAAGGTTGGTATAAATGACCTCAGTATGTCCTGAGCAGTTTATGGGGCAAGTAACAGTTCCATCCCCCCAGTGATATGACAGAGCTTCGTACCTGGTGTTCCAGGAAAGTTCAGCATGAATAAGACGACACTTGAGTTCTTCGCCAGGAGCCCCTGGCTCAAGTATAAGAAGTCGGATCTCCTTCTCCCGGGTCATTGGCTTGTAGATCGTGTCATTGGCATCATCTGGAGGCTGAACTAGCTTCGGTGGTATTATACGGAAAATGGTAGAGTCGACAATGTCCGCAAATATACCTTGATCTCTGAGTGGCTCATACACGTATGTACCTAGTAATGAGAAAGCAATAAAAGCCACAACCAGTCTCATTCCGGTGATTCGCGGGACTCTGAAACGCAGAGCAGTAAATCGTCTATCGTGGGAGAATTGGCGCGCGTGGGTCAATCCATTCATTATCTGTGGAGGTATGTTTTTGAAGCGTGCGTTCATCCATGAGGTCTGCGGGAATGGTGGCCTAGAGAATGGTCGTAGCAACGGGTAAGACCCTCTTCGGCCAACGCCATGTAGAGCCTGTGTTTGACTTGCGCGTAATGTCCATTGCCTTGGCATTGTGAAGGAAAAAAGGGTGTTTTGGTAATCAAAGCGGTAGATTCAATGTATCAGAGAAAGGAAAGAAAGACTCTAACATAAAATCGAAAATTAGCCGCTTACTAAAATTGCAGAACGAATGTACTGCAGACCTGACCCTTGGGGTATGAATGACTTATTGGGCATTGCATTTGAAGGGAGGTTTGCTGTATTTTATGTCTAGTCTTGCATAATCAGCATCCCCCCACCACTTGTCCTCTGGACGAAAACACCCTCGGGGTGAGGACCAATAAGAGGATGGCTTACAATAGAATCGCTGATCATATGGTACGGACAGCATCCAATGGCATATCGAGGATTGAGGGGTTGATATAGCCCCCAGGGGCTATAAATGTCAGCATCGGTACTTTGCCACTGTGGGAATGTTGTGGATACCATATTGCTATCGATATGCATATGTGACTAATTAGTCAGACTTATAGCCAATAAGAAGCAACTATTTCTGTTCCGCTATAGGGCGAGATACAAAGATAAAGTGCGGAATCTGACATTTGTAACCCCTGGGGACTGTACTGCCTGTAGGGGTACTGGCCAGGGCAGGAGGTCTTGCCCATCCCACCAAAGAGAGACACTGCTCGGTGAATGGTTCGATTACAAGCAGCGTCTTGACTGTATTTGCTTTGTGAGAAAAAACAATGACAACTCATCAATGCGTAAATTCGTAATCTGCAAGTGGCTGTCACCTAAGAAATAACCATGCCTTGTGCATTCTTTTGGGGCTTTTCCGTGTCTACTTTGAAAACTCTGCCAGTAACCAAGCTTAACGTTCAGGTTTGGGGCTTATGTGACCTAATTTTGGCATGCAACCGCCTCGGCCTATTGCCCAGCGTCTCTCTTCTATTTTTTAATTCCTCCATATCGGTGCTACTTTTGTCGCCGTTCTTCCTTGTAGCCGGCTTCTCTATTGACATATGTTAAGCTTCGGGTCTCCGTATAATGTTCGGACGGCATCTAGAGCATTACCAATAGTAATCCCATAGCATGAAGAAAAGTCATAACCGACGCGCATTATTTAAATGTGGAAGAACTTTCGACATGTGATACAGAGTAGCGAAATCAAACATCCGAGTAAGGTTCAACGAGGTTACTTTAGAGCATAGGACGAGACTGGTGGTGAGCAAGCATGGCGATGTTTATGCTTGAGAACAAGACGGAAGGCGAGGCCATGCTGATCTTCTGCCCTTCATATATCGTGCTGCTTTGTTCGTTGGCTTTATATATTGGTATCATTGTTGCAGATAAGTAGTACATACCTTGGCTCTCGGCTCCAGACATCGGGGTCAGGGGAGGAAATGAACCTGTACCCACTATCAACCGATCGTTTCACCGCAGTCAAATCCACTGCCTGGCACTGGAAATCCCTATCTCGGACCAGTGGGCAGTGGAAACCAGCCCGTCGTCTTGATAAGCTTCACCACTACTCTGGGTTTTCTTAGACCTAACGACTCATGACTGACATGTCTTTGCCGCTCTTGGCGCTCATAAACAGGCAACGGAATCCAATCTATGAGAGAAATAACAACGAGTTGATCAACCGTCCTTCGCTGTTCTGGCATGAGCTTCATTTGTGGGCGGAAGCGCCAGCAACTTCTTAGAATGCCTCTTAATATATGTCTCTATCCTCTTAGAATAATTACCCAATAAGTATCTTACTCTCCTCAGTAAGTAGATTGCATGGGATGATATCAACTGCTTCTACATCTAGCTGCCATCGGTGCTCCTTGGGAGGTTGCCAGATCTGATATTGACCAGCTTGCCCACCACTAACCTGAACTTTAGTGCCTGGTAGGACTAAGTCAAACAGCCATGCTGTGAACTCATATTTAGTTTCGATCTCTGCCAGTTCTGATTGAAAACTTGGTACCCCTTGATCTGGCGACAGACTGAGGATAGCTACTTCTTGAGGTACCTCATCCCTAGCTAGTGCTGGCCTGCTAGGAATGATGAGATACCTCTTCTCTCCATCTTCGATGTCAAGCCCAGGCTGGGGTTGGATACCGATAAAGTACTGTTTGCCATTTACAACTTCAATGGTGAAATAGCTTCCTGTCTTGTTTATGGCGAATGGCCGCGTGCTGATGAGTGCTCGGCCCTGATACATCAGTCGGCCATCCGGCTGGCAATGGCAGGAACCTTCAGCAACTTTGGCGCCTCTGCGAAGCAGTGTTCGGGGAATCCATCTGCAGTTATCGCGGCACAGTCTCTCGCTCTGGATAAACAGGATGCTCAAGGGCAGAGTGCCGATGGAGGTGAGGAGTATACGTATCCGCTCTTCGGGAGAGCTCTCTCTTAAAATGGCGTCGATATCCGTGCCAAGAGTGGTTGCCAGACAGACTGCCTCGTCCTCCAGCCGGGTAAGGTCTCGCGTTGTAAGGCTGGTAAACATTACCCGAAATAATTCAGCTGGAGTAAAATTGTTGCTGTAGCGATGCGAAGGAGGAAGACTTCCAAATGAATTCAGTGAAGCATTCGCCGTGATTCGGAAGAAGCGAGATTTGTTGTATTGGTCGACTCTCGAGACGAACGAACTTGGCGGAGCCTCGCCCGCATGAGCGATGGGCGTCTCCGACGCACTCAGTGGATTGTCAAGGCTTAGTCCTAGGGTCAACATCTGCCATAAACCGTGTAGGGCTCGCAGATACTTATTTGGACTACGGTTACCCGCGAGCGGAAGAGGCGGTAATTTTTGAATCTTCTCCAAAGCCTCTATACTCTCAGCATCTTCGAGTTTGGCGCCAAGCTCTATCATTCTATAGCATGCTGGATCTCGCAACTTCTCATACCTGTCCATCCACGTAGGGATGTCTGTATGATAGTACAGAGCTTTATGCCAGAACATTTTCATCTCTAGGCCGACGTGCTTCAACTCGTAGAATTCGTCGGCAAAGCAGAAGGAGAGAGACTTTGAGAGGCGACCCTCCTGTAGGGTCCATAGTCTAGACGCCCAAGGTGACCTCCAAATTCGTATCAGGACCTCCTCGCGTTGAGTATTGCTCATCGTGTTCATAAGGGACTTATCGAGAACCACGACCTTCTCGGCGCCCGAGTAGATGCTAGCCATTTTCTTGATTTCCTGCTTTCGTTCCTCCTCGTGGCCAACGGGTATGCAGAGTGTGTCGATCCAAAAGTGAACGTTGTCAATGTCGGGGCACGACTTGCTTGCCGAAAGCTGCAAGTGACTCAGCTGGCATCTGGGGAGTGCATTCTCCCTTGGATTCCCCATCCCCTCGGACCAAACGTGGGATATAGCGACATATGGGGGCGTGGGACCTTCATCCACGCCCATCTGAAAGATGCGAACAAAGGGCCCATCGATCCGGATCAAGGGGGTACCGCCTCGCCGGACACAGGAAAGAACCAGGTTGACTTCAAAACCGTGGCTAAGAGAGATAAATTCGCAGTCGCAGTCCCGGTCAAAAAGGTGCTTCGTCACGTACGTTGACTCGTCCATCTGGTACCCGACACACTTCTCCGTAGTACACTTTGAGTGATCTCCAGGGATACCTCGACGATCGAGAAAGGTGAGGTACCAGCGAAGACCCAAGTTACCCTGTGATAGGTATTCCCTATCACAGGTTTCCACTTGATATGGGCAGTAGCTGGCCCTCTCCAGGAGCTGAGAGATAATCGGGTCGCTATGATAGGAACTTGTGAACTCTACCTTGTTAAGGAGTCTTTCGTGAGTGCTTGCTTTGTCAACGCGAAATAGTGGTTCGCTATCAGCTCCAGCAATGGGAACGAAATTGCTATATACCGTCGGTAGTGCTTCGCAAAGAGTCATTCCCAGGATTTTGATAGAGAGAAGTACTGCCGCCATGGTAGGGTATCCAGGTGCCCCAGGGTCGTCCAGATTCGTCTCGGCAGTAATAGGTAAAGGTAAGTGTCTCGTTTTAGACACGACACTATCGGCGGTCACTAGCACACGCACAATCTGATTTAGGCGCTTAAACTTTTCGGCGGCTGGTTCATCGGCCTCGCGAGCAAGCCAAAGATATATAAGCATTTCAAGCTTCAGGGTAGTTACCACGGCGTAGTCACGGCCTTCCTCGACCTGGATAAAGTCCCGCCAGTCGAATTCGATGCCGCAGATGTGCCCGAATATTTCCTTCATGAGGCCGAAGAAAAGCCATGCCTGGAGATATGGTGCGAGTCTAGTTGCTTTACCACCAGTCTCAATGAACTTTTCCGCAAAGTCGGAGAATCGAGAACCGTCGTACTCGAAATCCTTATCGTATAAGTAGCGAATTTTGAATGAATGTGCATGATCTTGTGTTACTACGTCGTCGCCGACGACTCGTACCAAGTCGGCCCTCGGGCGGTTAAGGTGTTCCATGAAATGGTGCCGAGAGAGAGGGCGTTGGCAGCTGAGGACAATGATCAGTTGACAGTTGTAGCCTAGAATGAAGCTTCTGTACCTTGGTTCATATGCTTTTCTGAGGGTAGGGGAAATGCCATAGAGAACTTGTTGGTGATGATAAAAGGCAAAAAAAGGGATGGGGACCTCAGGCTGACTCTTGGTGTCTTGCAGGCTTCTCCTGTTGGTGCGTTGGCTCAGCTGGACTGGGTTGGCAAACTATTGAGCGGTGCATGCAGGTTTCTGCAAGCCACATGAAAAATATTACCAAGTAACAGAAGGATCAGGTAGTCAACCCCGGGGAGACCGTGTCGCGAAATGTGATTGGACGTTGACTGTGCGCAAGAGAGAAGAGGAATCTTCCCTGGGGTATGAATGGGTACCTGATACGTCAGCCCATAGTCTCTCATTTTATGCTATTCCCAAGCGGGAAAGATCGAGTGATGGTCCTCACCAGCTTGCATATGTCCCTAGCGCTTAGTGTTCAGAAGCCATGATCAAGGTTGCGACCCTTCTTTGTTGTACATGCAAGGCCTTATGGCTAATTCGTACCTGTACATTGAGGGAAGAGACGGTCGAGCTCCAATCAGGCAACCATGGATCGTCTCACCGCCACGCCTAGGCATGCACGACAGAGAGTTGGTCGACTCATCTTGTTGTTCGCAAGGGGGTTGAAATATGCAACCACCTTCCTTTTCATCCATGCCTAATGCAGTCGCGCAACCAATAGTTGTACTTTAGCAATAGGGCTTACTTTAGCGAACAGTCCTAGATATAATTGCAGGGGTTGATGTCAAGCGGTGTGATCAGCTTACTGTCAAACCGGCTTTGGCAAAAGATCACGCCTCGAAAAGCCCGTACAAGCAGGCGTTAGACGGTATGTTCAAGAACACTAATTCTCGGCAAGGCTACAGGCATCAAAGCGGGGTAAGATGATGTTATCTTGTGCGGCCTATATGGCGAACCAGTTGCCTTGTTTTCAGGCCAAATTATTTGGAGTAGATAGTGGATTGCGTATTACGCAGTTGCGCAAAAATATTGTTGCAATACGCGTGGCCGAATTAATTGGCAATATCAGGCATAAAACTGGAGGCAGAGTTGTCTCAATGCCAACTTGTTCTTTTGCCTATCACACCACAATTCAGGACAGAATGGAACCCCTAATAAGTCTTCTATCATCTGATCTTGAAGATGACAGCAATGGTAGCAGGTCTCTAGCTATCCCATCTTTCAATTTCATCTTACCGAGCCGACCAAATACTCCCTTACCTCACGGTGAGACCTCGTACTTGGGGTCAACAGGCTTACTGGATGAGTCCGTCAGTCATGAGCTGGGCCTTAATGACCCAATATGGTCTCTAGACCTGACTATCGACAGCACAGATCAGCTAGAAGCCGTTGACGGCTCTCAATTTCCAATAGAAGCATCAGGACCTTTGTTGATGGTACCAGAAATCGAGTCACTTGAACAACAATTGAGAGGTGCCATATGCCAGCATGCCCACAAAGAGTCCAAAGGATTTCTTCCTCTGGACAAATTGAATGAAATCGTTATCGAAGATTCTGTATCCGTTGCACTCAGAGAATGCATGCCGAATTTATCGCATGATGATGCACAATTTCATGCAAAAATGATCTGTCCAAGATCTCAGCGAAATCACAGGGAACCATCCTTTCGACGCATCTTCGCGATATTAACAATAATTCAGCAACCACAAGAGGTCTTCGCCTTTATGGAGAATAACATCACGGATCTTGACCTGCCTCTTGTCAAGGTTCGCGGGGAACACAAGGGTCGATATGAACTGAGACGGAAGTTCCAGCCAAATAGGCCTTTGGAAGGTCTTGACAAGTGGTCGCCCTTCTTGATAGACTCGTTTGAAGGGTGTCAGTGGATGATGATGTCGCCTTTTTTCTCGTGGGAAAACAAACGGGCTGTCCGCACATATTTCCTCGCAGACCAAACTATCCTCCCTTTCATAGAGGACTCTTCTCGTGACGTCGACATGGAGGATGATGAGGATTTCCAAGGAGGCCACGGGTCCATCTTCAAAGTCAAGATACACCCAGCGCACCACAACTTTCATCACATCGCCGTACGTAAAAGGCTTCTATTGCATTGACCGATATTTGCTAACTATTGTCCCGCAGGAAGCTCATGACTCTGACTCTGCCTTTGCGGTGAAGCGCCTCCACTCTCGCAGTCGCGAAATGTTCTCAAGAGAGGTAGATGCCCTGAAGCGACTAAGTGGCCAGAAGCATATAGTTCCACTTCTGGCTACATTTGAATACAAGAACAGCTATCATCTGCTGTTTCCGTGGGCGAATGCAAACCTGCGGCGATACTGGGCCATGTTCCCCAGCCCATCCATTGATCGTCGTTACGGGCTTTGGGTAGCCAAACAGTGCAAAGGCATGGCTGAGGGGTTGAGCATCATCCATGAGCCTCCGCCCGACCAGAGTGACGACTATGCCTACGAAGCTGCCTTGCAGCCAAGCCACAGACAATCGCAGTCGTCACAGTCTTATGGCAGACATGGAGATATCAAGCCAGAGAACATCCTTTGGTTCAGGAACGGGCCCAACACTGACATCGGAGTTTTGGAGATTGCTGATTTTGGACTTACTCGCTTTCATAATAAAAGATCCCGGTCTAATATTTCACCTGTTGGAATGGGAAATTCTCCAACCTACCGCGCTCCAGAATTCGACATGCCGGACGGACTCTTGTCGCGATCTTACGATATATGGGCGTTAGGATGTGTGTACCTCGAATTCCTTACATGGTACTTCATGGGTTGGGAAGGCGTCATGGAGTTTTCCGCTTTGAGGGAATACAAGCGAAACAACCTTGAGGCTGACGATGCATATTTTGAGCTGACGGGAGCTCCAGAAACAGGCAACATATGCAGCAAGGTTAAGCCTGAGGTGGTCCATGTGAGTATTCACTTGAAACTGTTACCACTTCTCCTTCTATCCTGACATCTGACAGTGGGTGGCATCACTTCATCAACATTGGGCCTGTTCGCCCTTTTTTCACGATTTTCTCGACCTCATCAAAGACAGCATGCTAGTTGTTGAAACAGATGGCGAGATTGGTCCGCAGAGCCACCGCAGCTGAGGTGAAGCAAAGCCTGGTTCGGTTCTATAACCGCTCCGGCTCAGATTCAACATACCTATATGGAGCAAATCCTCTGAATCACTCTATCAATACCAGATTCTTCACTGGGTCAGACACTGGGAACCCAATAAGTCGTGAGAACATGAAGCAATCAAGCACTGTTGCAGGCTTAGAAACCGGTATAAAGTCCAACTCGCCCCTGCGAACGACTTATAGGTTATGGGATCAGACTCCACTTCCATCAAGCAGAAAGGCCAAAACTCATCATGTAGGCCGGAGAAGCACCACTGACGGCAGCCGTGATTCGCTATCACTTTTTCAGCCAGGATCTAGGTCAACTTCCTTCAGTGAAACTTCTCACGGCCTAGCGTCAACCTCTTCCAGTGATCGAAGCCATCGCCTCGTAACTGTATGCCAGAAGACCCAAGACACAACAGGCGGCGATACAAAGGACAGTAACTACCCTTTAGCTTGCCCCTTCTTCAAACGTGATCCCAGCAAGTATGGACAGACATGTTCTAGGGGCTGGTTTCAGTTTCACAGGTTGAAGTTAGTATCCTTCTTTACTATATCTTATGGTGGACGAGATGATAACGATTTATAAGGGAGCATGTATTTCGAAAACACTGTACGCCAAGGTACAGATGTTCTCGCTGTCTATCATATTTTGATGATGCTGCTGGCCTTGAAGAACACGCTCGTTCTGTGGAACCTTGCATATTGCGGGAATCCACAGAAATTGAGGGCATAAACGCCGAACAGGAACGCCGCCTCCGCTCAAGGAAGCGAACCAGGACGGAGACTGACTCAAACGAAGCGGGTCGTGAGGCACAACGATGGCGCGAGATGTACAAGATCATCTTCCCAGATGCTGATTCACAGACAATATCTCCGTGTGAGTAGTAGCAAAACGGCGACTTATGACGCTGGAATCTAACAAGACTATATGAAGACAACGATTACAGCCATGTAGCTTACACAGCGGCCGGCTCCTCGGAAACAATTGAAAATTACAGCAAGTTCTTAGATGGAGGTATTCCTTCAGAGGTTCAAAACAAATTGCAGGCAACTATCAATCGGGAGCTTGGATTTAGTGAACTGGAAGGGAGGAGAATTATTGACATACTCCCCATCCTGCAACAGACACTCCTACAGTCCTTTCAGAGCCACAATGAGAATTGATAGGTAGAAAAGAAAACTTGAATGCTAAAGTTGTACTACCACTAGTCTGATTATGCTTGGTGTTAGTTTCCTGGAATTAGGTGTATAAGGGATTGCCAACTTAGTAGTGCTTACCTGCAGGGAATTTATTAATTTAATGTGGTCAATTAATGTAACCTTTAGCTCCTAGACCCTAAAAACTGCCATGAGTCCTTTGAAAATTAAAAATGTCCGTTATTTGCCGCTGAGACTTATGGCTGAGAGCTTAATCCAGCCGAGAGAACCTAGTTAAAAATGTCAGACGCTGGATATCCGATGCTAGCGTCGATAACGCGGAGGTTCTTCACGCCGTAAATACTGAGCTTCTGGCCAACAATACGGGCGTGATCCAGAGGCATTATAATAGCATTCCCAGTACGGCGGCAATCGCAGTTATCGCAGTCTGCTTCCAAGTTGCGATAAGATTCTATTTTATAGCACTTAGATTCCCTATAGCTGAAGAAGACCTAAGAGTGTTCTTGCAAACACGATGGATCTATCCAAGGTCATCTCTAGCACCCATGAGTATAATAACGCGTGTTATAGTCTCGATGCTCTGGGGACGTAAGTAGTGATATCTAACCTATTCTAGAGGGATTTAAGGGTTTAGTTTATCGTGATGAAAAGCAAATAGACGCTTGGCAACAATGACAAGACATTTTGTGATTCGAATATCTATGTACGGCGCAACCTTTGCAACAACACGACTGTCCCTTGAGTCTCATTCTGGGTATTTGAAGCTGATCTTCTCCTCTACAGTCCCGACGTAGATGATTAGAAACAACTCTATTGAACAACACATTTAGTAGGAAGTCCGCAAGCTCCTCCAGCACCGTCATCAAGCTCGTCAATGCTGTGGGCCCTTCGCCTCGTCTTTTCTGTTGTGAGAGAAGGAGCTGCTTGTTGTGCACGACGGCCAGTCTGGGACTTGCTAGCCTTATCCACGAATAAGTAGAATGTCTCACCCTGAATGCGTGCAATCTCAAGCTCCAAGGATGAAGGTTGGCGCGAGCCATCAGCGCCGGCCAAGGTGCCAGCACCCCACGGACTACCACCGTGGACCTCGTTCAAGTTTGTAAGCTGGCCGAATGTCTTTGCGTAGCCCAGCGGCACGTAGATAATGCCATGGTGTACGAGGGTAGACATGACGTTCTGCGCTGTGACTTCCTGGCCGCCGCCCTGTGATGCAGTGGATATGAAAAGGCCGGCTGCTTTTCCCATAAAACCACCGCTAGACCATTGCTTGCCTGTGCTATCCCAAAAGGCCTTCCATTGAGCTGGGAAATTGCCAAAGCGCGTAGGAATTCCGAACAAGAAACCGTCATATGATTCGAGGACCGAGGGATCGCTTAGTATCGGGATGTCGGTGGGCTTGGGAGGCGCATGCATCTTTGCAAGAACATCGGCAGAAAGAGTTTCGGGAATCTGGAAAATGTCGGCTGTACCACCGACGCTCTCAATGCCAGCTTTTTCGGCCTCGGCAAGCTGGCGAACGTGGCCATAGGTGGAGTACTATAAACAGAATGTTAGACTTATTCAAGACAGGCAGGTTTGAAAACTAAGAATAATGCAGGCAGCATTAATTACTTTTCAACATACATAAACAATAGCGATTTTGGGAGCCATTTTTAAAGCCTTGTCTTAAAGAGTGTAGTAAACAAAGGATGCAGTAAATAGAGAAAGCTTTCTGGGTAGTAAAAGTCGCAAACTTGGCTCTGCTTAAGTAGAAGTACTCTCTGCCTCACTAGTCGATGAGAATTTCACTACTGCTTATGACATGATTTGTTTTTTGCAATTTACTAGTGGTATGCTTGGTCATGTTAGTTAAGGGGCTGGGATGTATAATCGTGACAAACTTTTACAAAGCTAATAAACTCAGACATGCCCACCAAGCCCCCACCGAGCCCCCACCTTTATTGAAATTAAGGTTTTATCTAGACTGTACGATGATGTCAGTAGTAAGACTTTTTGCCTTTATATTATATTATTATTATCCTTTTATATTAAAAGAATAAAAAGACTTAAAAAAAAAATACAATATAAGAATAGTAACTATTCTTCTTTAAGAGTTAATTTTTATCTCCAGTTTAAACTACTTTAAGCAGCTATTGTCTATTAGGTACTATGTTAATGTTGTTGCATCTAGTGGGAAATAGTTAAAAAGATCAGTTGTCATTACATTGAAGTGAAAATGGCTTGGACTTGTCCAGTCCTGATACGAAAGTATATTAACCAGTCCTGGCGCGAGTGAGTGTGACCTGTCCTCTTGAGTACCGATCTCCCCTGTCTGAAGTATCCTTCTACCCGGATCGGTCACTTCTTTCTGATCCAATGAGGGAAAGTGTATATGAGAACATTGACGAGGTGACGAGACGTCATTGGGTACTGCTGATTCAGTGCCATGCCTGTGGCCAAAGATGGATGCTTTAACAGAATTCAGCACGCGATGGATGGATTTTAAGGACGAGGTGATAGGTTCATCAGCCACCATACTGGACAGCGTCTGCATGGCCTTTTGTATGTATTCCATGTTGTAGGAATATTTGGAGGGCTGGCAGAGGATGTCATAGAGCAGAACTGCGCAACAGCATTCGATGAAAAATCCTTGGTAACGAGAGGACTGTTGACGATGTGGTCAGATATGATGGCCAGACTTAGATCGAGCAATTTCAATTACCTTGCAAACTTGGCTGCTATTCGCTGACACTTCAATTGAGTCCTGGGCTGCATCCACAGCGTACCTGCAGGCCTGGCGTAGCCACATATCCTTGCTCTCGCTTGTCCTGCCACTAACACGCATCGCATGTTGGGCGACCAGAAAAGGGCGAAATATCAGAATGATTGTATGGTAATACACTGAGAATCTGGTAAGCCTTCGAACGAGGGATATGCCTCATCTTCACATATAATTGTGTAGAGTCATAGACTCGCGCGTCTCGGGGAAGCCATGGTCAGTGCCCGATTGTGCGGAAGCAATCCCGTACTCCCGTGCAAACTGACCAAGGCGACCACGTAACTCTTCTGCCATGACGTACAGCTGCCGAAGAGAATTTGCTCTTGTTCCGTACATACCTTCTGCGGCATCCTCCATGATCTTGGCGATGCGGCAGAGTCTGACGATGGGGAGTGGCTCTGTTGGAAATGGGCAGGTGATGTCCTTCCATCTTAGACTGCTTTGTCGCCCTAGAGTCAGAGCTTGGTATCTATTGCAGGTCAGCTAAAGCACGATATACGCCAGGGTATAAACTCACGTTTCATAGAAGTAAAGTGACCAAAGTGTAGTTTGATGCTTTTGTAACGTGAGGCTATCCAACCGGGTAGAAAGGGCGCTAATATACAGGCCAAATGCAAGCGCCTTCCTACAAGCCATACCAAGGTGCATGTAAGTCGAAGTCGGGCGACCAATATTGACCTGGTAGTCGGCAAATAATAGGGACAGCTGGAGAGTCTGCAATGTCACTGCATCCTCCAGACTGACGGCTTCACGTCTGGCTTCGGTAAAGAGGGTTTCTGCGAGGTCTGTCTGTGGCGTAGATAGAGCGCCAATGGCCAATATTGCTAGGAAGCTGGCTTTTGTCTGCGGCGGTATATTTTGTGCATACCGTGAGTCGTATGTCATCTGTAACAAACTGTCGAGCTCTTCGATCGTATAAAATGGCAGTCGATAGTGAGATGTGATCTTGAAGCCTTGGAGGAAGTCTTGCGCTATTTCCCTTGATATGGTTGACCGTTGGATGCTCTCGGATCGGATTGCCTCTTGGCTAATCCTTGGTGGTGTCCCGAAGAATATCGAACTCTGCATAAAAGTGTCAAGGCCAGGTTGCGTCTTGTTTCCCTCATGCTTGCCATGATCTGTCGTGGGTAAGATGCCTCGGTGTATTTGCTGAAGAAAAGCAAAGCATGATGAAGGTCCGTAGAAGAGCTGCGAGCTATCGGTTGGAGTGGACGACAAATGTGTCTCGGTGACGCTGTGGTAGACCTCGTGTTGGACTGCCTGCTCAGACTCCTCGGCGCTGAGATGGTCAGGCCATTGAGTTGTGGGACTAGCATTTGCGGACAGCGCACCAACTGATAGACCAGACCCTGGTGGAGGCAGCTGTGATACAGATGCGCTGATGTCTCGCTTTGTTCTTCTGTGTCAGGTCTTGGTTCGGTATACACAAATATGCGGTGAATTCTGACACTCGGGATGGTGGCAAGGATGACCTCCATCACATCGCACCTTGCGCAGTCGACAAGGGTCACAGGCTTTGGCGATCTTGGTACTCATACTCATTCTCAAAGCACTACAATGGAGCGATCGGATCGGACGTACAGCGGACTTAGCGGAGGAACAAGAAATTTCATTAAACCCTGGAAAGACGAGGGATCTTGATTCTCGACCTATTTAGTGGGGTATATTCTAATTCTAAGCATTTATAATTGCCACTGCCTTAAAACTCGATAGCTTACAGATGCCTTAGCAAAGATCAGCTGCTCCACTTCTCTACTGTAGTTAGCTCTCTAGCCCCTTGCATTCAACTGCCGAGTGCGTTTCAGCTAGGTAAAAACTTTTATCCTTCGGCCAACTCTTTTAGTACTCTAGTCCATTCTTGGAATAGTACAACTGTTTGATATCATCGGCCAGTGCTGTACGATGGTCCCTGGTTGTATGAGGCTCCAACTCAGTGGAGATGCAGTGGGTAATTGTGATGGAGATAGAGCAGGGACATGAGCATGCTTGTTCACATAAGAAAGTGGTTCATATTCACGCATGCATGTATAAATACGAATGCCCTTACCAGCTTGTATAGTATATTCTGCCAGCATCAACCAACCACTTTTCACCATTGTCCCTCTTTCTAATTTCAAATATTGGCGGTTTAGTTGATATTATTTTATATATCATATAATCCCTTCTTTACCAACGCTTTCTCACCATGTCGCCTCTCTCGACGTGGGTTCTGGCAACCGTTTCAACGGCACTTGTGTCGACTGTGGATGGCTACAATATCCCCCGCTCCGCCCACCAAGCATGCAGAATCTCGAATGGCTCTGAGATCCTCCTTGCCTATGATTACGTGATTGTTGGTGGCGGAACCTCAGGACTCACTGTGGCTGATCGCCTGACTGAGGATGCCAACACCACTGTTCTTGTTCTCGAGGCCGGCATTTTTGCGGCTGATGCCGATGTCCTTCCAGTTTACAACGGTGGTACTCAGCGCCAGCCACGCTTCTACTGGCAGTCCAAACCACAGGAGAACCTTGACAACCGCACGGTCCCCGTCTGGCTTGGTAAGATGGTTGGTGGTAGTTCTGGCGTCAACGCCATGATGGCTTCACGAGGTTCGTCTATGGACTACGACCGCTGGGGCAAGCTGTTTCCTGAAGCCAATGGCTGGGATTGGGAAGGCATGCTGCCATACTTCCGCAAGGTAAGCATACACAACATTCTTTAGGGCCTCGTCTCAGCTAACTCTTAGACTAGGGACTTCACATGAACCCTCCAGCCCCCCAGATGGCTGCTCGTTTCAACATCTCGACAAACCCCAAGTACTGGGGTAAGGACTCAGCTATTCAGGCTAGTTTCCCCAATTACGAATACCCAGGACTCGGTAAGCAGCTGGCACAAATGCTCATACAAGGAGACTCATTCGAAGCTAATTCTACAAATAGAACACATGTCGAAAGCCTTCTATGAACTACCCGGCATCGAGCCTGTTGAAGACAGTGGTGCTGGCGGCGCTGGCGTATACTGGTTCCCCACTCTCATGGATCATTTTCGCTATGAGCGGTCCTTCGCAGAGAACTCTCACTACCGGGGCCTTTCACGCCCCAACTACCATGTCGCTCCCTCTTCCCGGGTCCGACGTGTCATTCTGAACAAGGGTGTTGCTACTGGTGTTGAGTTCTACGGTGCAGATGGTCTCCTCACCGTCAAGGCCAAGAAGGAAGTCTTGATGGCTGCGGGCGCTATCCATACTCCTCAGCTTCTTCAACTCAGTGGTATCGGTCCCAAGAAGCTTCTTCATGCTGCCGGTATCAAGACACAGGTTGACCTTCCTGGTGTTGGTCAAAACTTCCAAGATCATATAAACATTGGAGTCTCTATCACTCTCGAAGGCCTCAAAAAGATTCACCCCAACCCCTCCGATATGGCCAACGGCACTGACTTCAAGAAATGGGCTGACGAGGCTTGGGCCGCCAACCGCACTGGTACGTGAAGCAATCCTCTGTCTGCCATGTTTGTACCTCCATTAACACAATCGTAGGACCTTATTCTATCGCCTGGGGTAACCTCGCTGGCTGGCTCCCTCTCTCTGCCATCTCTCCTGAACGGCATCTTCAGCTGGCCGACCAGCTCGAAAAGCAGGACCATGCTAGTTACCTATCTGATGACGTTCATCCCACTGTTGCCAAGGGCTACGCTTTGCAGATGAAGAACATGGCCGCCGCTATGCGATCCAAGGATGTTGTCTTCGCCCGTTACCTCGTTGATGCCAACACTGGTGCCTCAGCTCCTATTCTCAACCAGCCTATGAGCCGTGGCTCCGTCACAGTCGATCTGAAGGATCCTTACAACTCGAATCCTGTCGTGGATTTTGGATCACTCCGCAACCCGGTAGAGCGCAGTGTGCTGGTCGAGATGGTCAAGTGGTACAGGCGATACAACTTCGAGACCTCTCTCTCTAAGCTGTCACCTAACGAGACCGCCCCTGGTGTTGATGTTGTCTCGGACGAGGATATTTCGGCTTGGATCCCCAAAGCCCTTTTCCCTACCGATTACCATCCTGCAGGTACCGCTGCTATGATGCCTCTAGACCACGGCGGTGTTGTTGACCAGAAGCTCCGTGTTTACGGCGTTAAGAACCTCCGTGTTATCGACGCCAGTATCATGCCTTCGCTACCTGGTTCTAATACCTGCCAGCCCATGTATGCTGTCGCTGAGAAGGCTGCTGATATTATCAAGTCTGATGCCTAAGGGATGTGCATAATAGGATTTCGATAATCGTTGGATTGGATGCCGATAGATATAGAGATAGAGAAAAATAGATTTTCGATGTTAATAAATTCTTCACACCAGACAACATTTGTAATAGAGTAACGAGATATAGGCTCGGCATGCCGACTGTCTCCAGACTGTTGTACAGTAGAGATCTGCTGTAAAAGACCTGTTTCACCGACCGACGGTCAGTGTGACAATTCATCTTGTAATTGTGTAAAACGGAATGTAGTTCCCACAGACCTGATATAGTGAGGAAGAGCAAGCAGGCCGAACTCAAGGCGAACACGAGAGGGGTAGAGTAACATCTGAAGCATAAATCCCAACATATACATCAAGACCGCACGATGCCAGTCCTTCTGGCTGGGCTTTTACGGAACATATGATACGGAGCAAAGAACCGTGCCTGGGTGATACTATTCGGGATTTGAAGTGCCACGTGTCGAGTTGGCCGCCATCCATATATGTTATTGCAAATAGAACATGCCAGGCTGTATTCAGCTTCTATCTACAGGCTAATTAATTGGATGAGTTAGATTGTGTGTGGCTAGCTGAAGGAGCGGTCAACCAGTAGTGGCTGAGACAGCAGAACTGATAGTCTAAGGACTATTGTTTTTACCCCTCACATGTAGCGCGCTGATAGCACGATAGGCACTCAGATAACTGCCTTCTTTAACGAGAAATGTTCTTTAACATCTAGTATTCTGCTTTTCATGATGCATTGCTTTGGCATATATGCAATACGCAATTGTAGAAGAACCGATACTTTTTAACAACTGCATCAGCGTATAGTATATGCGCTACATCTAACTGTAATGCTTTTAAAAGTCCAGCCTAGCAGCAAATTATCGATTAATTCTGGGTCTAGACCCTTCAATCTCCACTGTGGCGCTCTATAGCAATAAAGTACGACTTGGAACGGTCGAGACTCTCCTCTGAATCAGCTCTTGTACGATCTCAGAAAAGTGTCAAGGATGTGGCGAGCTGAGCGAGGAGAGAAGGGTTCACAGTCACAGGAATTTCTTGACTACGCCGGGCAGAATACAATAACGAGAGCGCATGAGTACCAAGAGCCGACGATTCTCATGCAGGGCAGAAACATATAAGAAAGCCTTTACCGACAGCTCCGAGACATAATCTCATCCATTCTCGCCAACGTCTCTTACTTACCTACTATCTTTGCTGTAAACGGTCTCTTTACCGCCACCCAACTAAACATTTCCTTGTCCACATCTCCATCATGGCTACAGCAATGGGTGCCCAGACTGACACTGGCTCTTGGGGGCGCTCGTACCCAGTGCAATTCACATTCTCAATTGGTGGGAAGGTTTTCCTGTACGGCCAATGTTTGTCCGACAACTACTGGTTCATTCAGGAACTGCTCCCTGGTGGAAAGATGGGTTCTGTGACCGATTCAGGCACCTGGGACTATGCATACGCTGTCCAATTTCCCTTCATGATTAATGGCCAGGTCTTCTTCTGCGGCCAAAAGATGGATACCAACTACTGGTTTATTCAAGAAATTCTCACAGGCGGGAAAATGGGAACCCAAACCGACTCCGGGCATTGGAATAACGCTTATCAAGTCATGTTCGCCTTTTCAATCGGCACCAAGCACTACCTCTTTGCCCACAATATCGATACGAGGTATTGGTTTATCCAGGAACTCCTCCCAGGTGGGAAGATGGGAAACGAGACTGATGAAGGACATTGGGCGACTCGCTACGCGGCCTTATTTCCGTTTACCATTGGGGATACACAGTACATCTATGGCCAAGATGTAGGCAACCCTTGGGCAAGTCACAGTAAAAGGTTCAGTCAAGGCCAGTTGGAAGTTGACTTGGCTGTTACGGATCTATTTGAACACTTGTTTGGGGTTGCCTTGGGACACCCTCCCATTAATTACGAACCAACACGTCGCTGGTTCATCCAGAAAATTCTCCCTGGCGGTAAAATCGGTGATGAAACTGATAGCGGTAAATGGATTGGCATTTATACTGCGCAGTTTCCTTTTGCTCTTAATGGCAAACAATACTTCTATGGCCAAGATCTGGGTGTAGGGAAATGGATCATCCAGGGTCTTGATGCTAATGGCAAGATTGGAAGTGAGCTGCAGAATGGTAAATGGAATGATGCTCGGGAGGTCCAGGTTCCTTTTGTTGTGGGAGGAAAGCAATATTTCTATGGGCAAGATTTGTCATCTCGTGCCTGGTACATCCAGCAGATAAATTAGTCAGATGTCGTAATAGAATCGAGGCGATGGGTAGCGCCTCGGAAGGGGTCACCTTGACTTGAGTTGTCGGTTCAAGACAAAGAGTGATGTATAGACTTTCATTGTGCTCGAATTGAGCATCTGGCTGTTGCTGCCATTCCTCATCGCCATCGATCAGATGAATCTGAGAGGACAAGGCATTGTTGATGTTCTCGGTAAATGCGCGCGCTTCTTTGTTTTGTCGACCTACTTTGCAGGCGAACAGCTTGTCCAGAAAATGGGATAAAAAAATCATGAATCAGGGGATGTATAAGAGAGCTGATACGTTCAAGCTGAGGATCGTAGTCAAAGCGGCGAAAATTAACCTTCATCTTGTCGTGGAAGCGGGCGAAGTCAGCCTGGCTGAGGTAAAAACTCGTCAGTGTTGCGGTGTTGCCAGTCTGACACTGTCGCTTGAAGTCAATAAAGGCCTTGGGGAGTTTATCAGCTGGCAGGCTGGCTCCTTTGGATTCATTTGAGGCTAAAGGGGAATGCTCGATCTACCTGGACTTTCAATTGAATTGGCGTGGTCCTTATCTTATCAAGCGAGTTGTGGCGCACTGGCTGCAGGACGATGGGGGCCACCGCCGACTATAGGGTATGTTGGCTTTCGAATAGATAAAGCAGGCTGAATTGATCACCTATGCTGATCTGATACACTATTAGCTAGCCATGTCCGCCATGTCCGCCATGTCCGCCATGTCCGCCATGTCAGCTGTATAATCGTATAACAACATTACTGATGACCTATAGACGGAGCTCAGACATCTCATATCGGCGTGCAATGAATTTTGGGTCACGGAGCTCTTTGATCCGCATTACATTAAACAAGAGTTCCATTGTTCGGAGGTCCGAGCAGCGAAAGCCCCTGCCCTGTTGCTAACTGAGAAGCTACTACTGTTAAAGCTGCTGGATAGCCGGTCTCTGTTCTATCTTCTTCTTCCAGGCCTCCAGGGTAGGGAACGCAGCCAGGTCCAACCCCGTATAAGTCAGCCACCTGACAGTAGCCCAGAGATGCGTGTCAACAATCGAGTACGAGTCCCCAAGGATGTAATCCCGGTCATGAAGAGAATTATCCAGAATGCGTACTTTCTCATTGAGCTCGCTCATTGTCTTGTCCAACTGATCCTTCAGGAAGACATACGTTAGCAATTTGTCCTCGAGCGCTTGTGAAAAGGCTAGAAACATGACTATATGCATACCTTAGACTTGGAAGCTTGGCTTTCTGCGAGGGCAACGCCTTTCTTCCCAAGTTCGGTGCTTGCCCAAACAATCCACGTCATAGCCTTTCCACGGGAGGTACCAGGAGGGGGTAGAGTACCGGCGCTTCTTTGTTATTGGCAGGACGCTCAACCCCAAAGGTTTCACCGAGGTACATAGTGATAGCGGAAGCTTCCCAAATGCTTACGCCATCGTGGACTATAGCCGGAACAAATCCATTAGGGTTCACACCCTTAAGATACTCAGGGGTGCGGCTTTCTCCCTTCTGGAGGTCAACCTCGATTCTCTCCGCGATAGGCTCAGACAGTCCATGTTCCAGCTCAGCCAGGACCGCAACGGTTAAATCAGCCGTTGAGTATGTTTTATAGTAGAACTTGAGACTCATTGTCAACCTGAGGTAGTAGTATTGGAAGAGAAGTGAGATTGGAAGCTTTGAAAAAGTCGATCGCAAGATGAAATGTCGTAGATGTTTATACTCCAGGAGAATATAAAGGTCGTGATGAACAGTGAATACTCCCATAGCAGAGAGGAGACTTCATTCACAGCTCCTCACACTTCCAGCTCCTGCGGGGTAGTATGCACTTTGATGACAGCCTATTGGACATTGAACCGAAAAGACCAATTAGTTCAAACCTACAGGCAAAATAAACGCTATGACCTCTCTAGTTAGCACAAAGTCACAGGCAAGATTATTGGGATGTTTGGGTACGTAGTGGCTAGAGGTACATAATCGCTAAGACCCTCAAACTTATCAACAATCAATCAGGCCAACGACCTTAAGCGGTATTGACCTCTTGAAATGTGCGCCAGAACAGCTCCTCCAAGATAGCCTCCGCGACGATAGGGTCCCTACCAAAGACATAATGCCCAAGATCTATCAACTCCCGCGATAGTCTTAGCAACCGATCCATATGCCAGGCCAATCTCTCCAAGAACAGTCAATTTGGAGGCGAACCATAATTGGAGTGAAGGGAAGCAGTTCGGCTGGTACCCTAATGTCTCAATCTTGGTGGCATTCATTTGGCTTGCTATTCGGCGTGGGTTTGGAAAAGAAGAAACACTAGGGATGAAAAAAGAGAGTGCTCTCTTACTTCCCAATGTTAGTTCACAGACCCAATGCCAAGGAGAATGGCAGTGACTTTGGCAGTTGGTCCACGAAGATAGTTATACGATATGGTATGGGATCCTTCCTGGTTGCGACCCATCAAAACTCCAATTGTCATCTCTAAGCTTTCAGGCCAATCACTGCTGCAGCCCGGGGCGTATAAGACACTCTACGGGATACTAAAGATGAAGCTTCGATCTATGCCTAATGTTTCGGCGATAGATAGCAAGCATCTTTGATGGATCAAAGACTTTTTTAAACGCACGAGTCTTACGTTTGGTCATCTAACATCTTCGCGCCCTTTATCGAGGTAGTCGTGTCATGCCATCTTGAGGCACTCTCTCATTGTCTTCCGATGTCACCTGTCGACGAGAAAGGATTTAATACATTTCCTCGGAAGATCACCCGTCCTGAGTCAGTTGCCGGCCTTGATGTCACGCTCCTTATGACTCATGAAATAATGGTCCATTCTGTACCGGATCTCACTAGCTCAGGAAACTCGATGAAAACGGTCGAATCTTTCCTCCTATAACTATGGCCAAGTCCAACTCAAAAAGTCTAACATCATAGATCGTTTCTAGCAGGTTATATGTGCGCTTTGCTTACAGCTAGGACATAGCAAGAAGTCATTCTATTCACATATTGCAGCAAGAATACTCTACAAGGCCAGACAGGACAAGGAAAACTAAGAACTAAATACAGCGCGGCATTTATCTAAAATTGAGGTCTCTAATAACAAGTATGCATAGTTCCAGCTTGGACCTCAAATCAAGGAAGACAATTGTCCTCGCGCAACCATCACATGGCTGCTAGGGTCAGCACTCTACGTTCTAATAAACCAAACAACCTTGGCCTTCCTCCCTTGGCTGATTGGGGTTCGTAGGTGTTTTATTGGCTACTGTACAATCTTTACAATCGATCAATACAAGTATATAATGGAAAATGCATTTTCAAAGGTAAAACTTTACTCCCTTCAAATCCCGGCACAGGTCAGCCAGTCCATTGAGAGTCATTGAAGATGAACAAAAACAAACATGGTATCGTTCCCATTAAACCTGGCGATATTCTGGGAGGCAAGGATGGATTGGATTGGTCGGCTATTTTGCTTCTACTGGACGTGACCCAGGCGATGAAACCTGGACACTTGCCACAGACGATAAACGTCCTGCATATATCTTCGGCACCCTGCCTGAAAGCGAACTTGATGGCCAGCCCGACCTACCCATCCTTGCCCCCGGAAGCAACTGTTCTTGATCCTTCTGTGGATATTGAGGCCTAAATCCACGACTGTGATGCAAGAAAGGTAGAAGCGCCAGTTGCTTTTGCAGTAACCGTAGTTGTTGGTCTAATCCTTCCTTTGAATAAGGATCTGATATCTTGCCTGGTGTCAGTACTCAGTTGGAACTAACCGTCATTAGTTGTGATCTCGGCAAATTCAGTGTGTCGATGCATTCGGAGCTAACTCATATAGAAGCAAGAGGCTTTAATTCCGATATGTCACAGGTTGGGAAAGCACATGTACAGGTCGAGGATAATGGAGACAAAAGGCCATCCATTACACAATGAAATGTGCACAAACCGTCAATATCGGCTTCTGGAGTCAAGTAGCAGTGGACTCAGAATGTATAAGATGGCCCTTCAGTCTTCGGTGGTAATGCACATGGTATGATCCCCGATACTAAGCATTTACGCGTCGATACAATAGAGCCGCTTATAAATAGAATTTATTTCCCCGACAGAACCAGAGGGAGAAAAGAGTACTGGGAATCGTCTTGGGATAATTCATATAGTATCAAAACAGTGTATAGCAATAAAATACATACAAACCTAAGCCAAACGCCAACCTCCATATCTATCGATCTATCTCCCCTGCCGTTGCATCTCTCCTATTTTTACAATCTGAAATACAAAGCATATTTTTATCGGGATATTATAGAATACCAAGCCCCATACCTACTTACCATAGTAAGCCACTTAGCTTAGGTTCATGTGTTCATGTTTATCGTTCTTGTTGATTTCTTCTGTCTTTTTCTGATGGTCTCCATGAATTTGTCACTTGACCTTCTCCACCATCTAGATATCTGCCTCCGTCTTCTGGGTAGTTGTTTTGCTTTGCATAATCCAGTCGAAGGTCTTTCCAATCAGGTAAGTGCTGAAGATAATAATTGTACCCGAGATGAGGATATAGTAGGCCACTGGATCGTTCCAGATGTTGTATTCATACTTGGTGGGGAAGAAATACTTGGCAAAGGCGAAGTAGTAGTAAGTAACATAGTAGCTTGTCTTGAAGATGCAAAAAGCAACAATGTCGTCATCACGGTACCTCTCAACAAAAGCTGACAATTGCTCAATTGCATTGAGAGGGTGAGACCTTTCCCAGACCCAATGACTACCTCCCCCTAGTACGACAAGGATGACGAGGACTCGGCGGCGACAAATCTTGTTTCCCTTGACGATGAACCACCACATCCCCCCCACAGGGATAGAAACGAGATACCAGAATAGAGCGGTCAAGGGGCTGATTATGAAGGTATAAAGGAGATATGATATTCCTCTAAGGATCCAAGAATCAAAACTTCTTACCTTTCGAAGGCAAAAGGTTAAAAAGCGGCGAGTCTCGGTTGACGCCATCTTCCTCCACTCGATACTGTACCAGCCAGTGAGACTGAGAAAGAGCAGAGAAGAGATTCCAACAAAATATCCACAATACTCATACCCAAAAATAGCGTTGATGTCGTCCAGGGATGGTAGAGTAGGTAGGTCGTATTGCTTCAACAAATCGTTGGTCTTGTCAAAGTAATACATGCCGGTAAAGAGTGCAATAACAGCAGTAGCATATATGACAGAGGAAATGACCCTCTAGTTCCCAAGTATGAACTGGATGTAACTCCAGATGGCTTTGGAATGGAGAAGGTAAATTGTCTCGATCACGTAGCCTGTATCCTGATCGTTGGGTAGAGTTTCATCCTCCAAAGGGTCAGCCTTAATAGATTTGGCCGACGACTGACTAGCAGTCGTAGATGGGGGTGCAGTCATATCCTCTATCGGAGTGGCGGAGCGATAAGGTTCATGTTCCTCAATTGATGGTGTTGAGATTCCAGAGGATGATAGAGCGACATTAGCAGGGCTCGAGGTTCCAAGAGACGGAGATTGTGATGCTGGAGGACTGGGCAGACCAGTTACACCCTGTTCCTCAAAGCCGCTTGACCAGGGAGACTGAGGGCCTGAAGAGCCGGGAGTGGTCGGTCTCGAAGACTGAGGGCCTGAAGAGCCGGGAGTGGTCGGTCTCGAAGACCGAGGGCGCGGGGAATCCTGTGAAGTAGGCGGGGTTGCAGATGGGGATGTAGACTCAGGTGTAGACTGGGAAGCAGACCTCTCGCTGCGGCGAGACTTTCTGCGAGACGAATTACGAGGCATTGCGGGTGATGAAGGAAATCTTGCAAACAGTGATTATTGAAAGCTGAATGTTGAGCTGAATGTTCGAAGTGAGTATGTACTGAGAGTAGTCGATTGTTGTTGTTTTTGGAGGTTAGTATTACTGGAATTCATCAGATATTAAATAGTCAACCCTGTATCGTTTCATTTCTTTGCATTAATCTTTTGTCTCAGTGCTTACTGGACGTTAATGGCCTTTCAGATGCTGAACAACAGCATTCTTTGACTTGCAATAGCCCCCAGCCATGGTAATGTCCAAGCGCAGATGTTTAGAGGACCATTTGGCTAAAATTGGCCGAGGCCGAGTTCTATTGACTGAATTTATTTTTAGCGACAACACAATGCACCAAAGGAATAACAGCGCTTATCTTCAGGCACGCCTTTGTTCAATGGTACTGAACATCGCAGCCGTTGGGTGTAGAGCGTATTTGTCTGTTACAGAGTAAATGCTGTAATAAAGAGTCATTTCATTGGCTTTTGAGCTTTTTGCAGAACAATTGCCCTTTGTTGTTGCCGCCCTCAGCAAACTCGAGATCTCGGCTTGTTCCATTCAATTACCCAAACTTCAGTACGGATGCAAATAGACAGTGCTACATGATCTCCTCACATCGCCTGTCGATCGACAGCAGCATCAGTATCAGACCAGATAAAAGCCTAATGACGATTTGACTCGCCGATCCTCCCTTTTGTTCCGGGGCCTGGTAATCGGGGATGAGTGCGTGATGAAAACTAGCACAGCGAGATTGCATTGACTCGGGGACTAAGAATAATACATATCGGATGTATCCACAGGCTCTACAGAATTTATTACTGACAAGCACCTCTGAGCGTGCCGCCGATGACAGACTCGAGCATAGAGGGTCGACTAATATAGTGTACCGTTGCTAGTGGATCTCCATCTTGGCTACTTGACTCGCGTCCTTGGTGCAGCTCGCGTAGCAGCCTGCCTTTCCTCAACTCACTTCAGCAAGCTCTCTGAGTCCCCGCTTCGCCATTCACAAGCGCCTCCGCTTTCTTTAGGCTCTCCCCGACTGGAGTGCACTCCCCAGCTTGACAGAAGGCGGTTTACATCAGAGGTCATTCATTCCTATCCTTGTTTTCTCCACGAGATTCATTCCCATGCAGCGAAGTCATGACCTTTTGATTTCTCCTACTCTGCTTCTGTTATCACTACCTCACCCTCATATAGATTCTCATATTTCGGCCTCTAGTCTTTGGATATCGCATCCAAGATAATGGCCTCGTAGCAGTGCCTGGTGCCCACCTGGACTTTACATCGTCGATCACATCACGAAAGCAGCCTCTGCTGGTAGAGATCACCGCCTTGCTGACTAGACAGAATACAAGCACGAACAGTACGAGTCCCTTCGCATTCCTACCTCGCAACGAGCACCCTTGACCAACATGTTCTTCTGCCGATCAGCATGAGCGTTGTGACGTTCTACCAATACTTTGCAAGCGACAACCAATAATCCTAAAACCCCTATAGTCCCAGCACTTGATCAGCTCATACTTTGTGAAGCTACGTTTCAAAGCTGTCATCTGTGTCGATAATGCCAAGGGATGTCTTATAAGTTATCGATCAGCACTATCCCACGATTCCGATTCCTTTTGTCTATTTGTTTCACCACAACCATCTCTACAGTTGACGAGGGACGTCCATCAAATTTTGGTACAGGGTGGGTCGATTAGCAATCGGTAACCGTCAGAAACTCTCAAGGTTTGACGAAAGTAACCGTACTTGACGGTTGCGGCTCCAGCGGTAACTAAGGGCGAGATAAGAGACCAACGTTGTAAGCTATCACACGAAGTCTCCAGCTGACACGACCTATCGTACTGATATCAAATAGTCTTGTAGGATGCAGTGCTGCGTACAAGGCTGGTTCGCTTGTCATCACCACGCGCGGCTCCCGTGTGTTCCCAATTGACAATCACCTAGAGAAATACATCTCATTTGCCAGACAGCATTCCACTCCAAGGGTGGCTCTAGCTTTTCCACCGGCGCGATGCAGTCCACTGTGACTGTTAATGTTCCAGCCCCCCTCAGCCAGCCACTAACGGGCTGGGTATATTTAACTTCGACCTATTTACAGGGTTTCGGAAAAATGCAGAACCCCATCGCGGTAAAGATCGACAACAATCGTCTGATTCATAGCGGAATGGGGAAAAGTCCGCGCGCAGGCCCCGCGGATTGGAACGCCCGTATAATCTGGTGGCTGCCACTTCTGGCGTTCCAGCCAGCCACAAAACATTCCCTCTGAAAGATCAGCTTCTTCGCCCAAAGCCATCACTTTTGACTATTGGTGATTCACACTGCAGCCATCGTATAAAGGTGTCTCAAACCATTACATACTATTAAACGATTGGTTGTCTTGAACGGCTGTCTAGGGAACTCCCGCACATCGCAGAACCCTAACATATTTTTTTATTTACCTTGTAAACTGGCCCTGGTAGGTCATAGACATGTGGTATCGGTCAATAATGCCAACTGAGCTGATACGGCAGACTTTCTCCAATCAGATATCGGTCTTGATTTCCTCATTTGCTAGAATCAATTTAGCCTCGTGATTTGGGTTTGGGCACCAGATACTTTCCAGGGTCGGGACCATTAGTTGGTCCAAAGCTTTCAGCATCCTGACGTGCCGCCTGAAATGGGCATGAAGTATTGGCAGGAGTAAGTCACACGACTATCGAATGGGCGATGGCAGATCAGAATATGCCCAAATGTTCAGTGTAATACCTCCAGGCTGGATTCATTGCAATTAGGCTCTTGACTACCGTCCTTTGCTGTGTAAAACTCGTTCAATAACTCGTTTCGCGTCTGTCTCTCGACGGAAGCATTAGCATTGGGTGAGACACTGGCGATACTCGAAAAGTTGACGGGGTCAGTTTTAATCCGGAGAGGTACTAAAGCGAGAGAAAACGACATAAATATCGTTTCGGCATGTCACGGGAATGGATCAAGTAGATACGAATACATATGCTTTGTTCGCAATGAAGGGCAACTGATGGGCAAGAGGAGAACCAAGATGGATCAAGATAACCATCGAGGCGTCCATTTACATGGGCTCAATTCTGGGCTAATAATTGGCCACCCAAACCGAGAGCTCTTCAATGGATGAGCCCTGAGCCCTTGTTTTCCGCCCAAACGAGAAATCTGGTCTCTTTCACGTCGGGAGTTCATTACATACCAAGCGCCAGCGTCAATAATTCTACAGTAAAGGCAATTCCTTGGTAGATCAATTCGATATCACATTGTCACATGCATTTGTGGCTGCAGCTAGTTCTATAGCTTCAAATGTGGCTGCAGGTTGAGATCTGAATGCTCGTATTCGACGCCGCAGTGGACATCAGCCGGGATTCGCAACTCATTTTCCTGCTGAGGTTGAGGTCTAGATTCAATAATCGGTTGTGACTATTGGCGATATTGGTTGATTGATTTTACATTCTTACCTTCACTGCTAGAATAGGTAGAATATTGACAAGAGGGAGACCTCCGACATGGCAATTGTATGGGAGCCGAGAGCTGGTTCTTCCCACTATAAGAAACGATCAATCAGGACTCTCATCTTCGTTGTTCATCACCCTCACTCATTCTATTCTGCACATCTCCTTTCTCACTCAATTCATCATGTCCCTTCTTCTCAGGGTTGGCCTCGCGACTGTCGCGCTTCGCGTCGCTGCAGACCCAACTATCGACAACTTAGTCCCCGCTCAATATGGCGGCATACCCTCTCCCCCACTCGGCTACATGGTCGATAACATGCGCGCCAACTCAGGCCTAGGATACCCGTCTCCTGCCAAGTCCATCACCCTCTCAGATATCATCCCCCAAGTCGATTCCAAGGGTCAAAGCCGCTGCTGTCCCGTTGGGACCATCAACGACGGCACAGGCTGCGTTTTCCAGGAGTCTTCTGTCTGTGAGAAGGGCACTATTCTTCAAGGAAACGTTTGTGTGAGTGTTGATGGACCGCAGTGTCCTGGAAACCTCAAGTTTGATGGCAAGATCTGTCGCAGTGACGAGCCACCTAAGTGCCCTGGGTTATCGCAGTACAACCTTGCCACCAACCAGTGCGAGTCTTCATCCGGTCCCAAGTGTCCTCCTACGTACAATCTCGACAAGGGAACTTGTGTTTCCGATTCGCCTCCATCCTGTCCCATCGGTTACAGCGAAAAGAACGGCCTTTGCGTTGATAACTTTCCACCTGTCTGTCATGGAGTAAACCAAGTCTATGACAAGGGATCATGTGTCAGCAAAGATCCTCCCAGTTGCCCTCAAGGAACTAAGCCTCAAGGCAGGAAATGCGCCGGAGTTGTTCCCCCGGTATGTGCGGGCAAAGCCAGGCTTGATCGCGGCCACTGCGTTTTGGCGCCAGAATGCCCTGAGAAGTACAAGTTTAATACATGGGTCTGTGTCAGGGAAGATGACCCTGTTTGTTCTCCTGGAGTCTTCAAGAATGGTATCTGCCAGGCGGATCCCACGTGCCCGGACGGCTACACCTACGATGCAATTGCTGACACCTGCACATATGTTACAGAGCTTCACTGCAGCTCTGGATACAAAATCTTTACTGCCCCGTCTGGCGCTAAGGGTTGTTGCAAGGAGGGTACCGACGACTTTGATGGAACATTCTGCTCGTGGGAAGTCACTGAGTCTGAATGCCCTGACGGTACCGAGTACAAGGAAGGTTATTGTCGCCATCCCTCTGAGAGCCCTTCTTGCCCTGATCTCTATGACTCCGTCGATGGAAGATGTGTCAAGCGAACCGTGCCGCGGTGCACTATCGGAAGCTACAACAAAGGGAAGTGTATCTTGGGTGATCCAACTTGCCCCACTGGAAGTCAATTCAACGGCAAGGAATGCGTACTTATTGAGCGAGCGTCTTGCCCTGATGGATCCAGGCTTGTTGGCGATAAGTGTATTTCTCTGGATCAGGCCACCTGCCCTCAAGGTCAACGGCAGGAAGGAGATGACTGCATCCATGAGGAATCGCCCAAGTGTCCTCCCAACACGATCCTCGATAACGGCGTCTGCAAGCACCCTGATATTCCCATTTGCAAGTCTGGTACCAACTATCTCAATGAACACTGCACCTTGCCCACTCTCCCAACCTGTCCTAAGGGCAGCATGATTAGCGACGGAAAGTGTGTTGCGATCCGACCTCCGCAGTGCCCCGAGAAACATAGGTACTGTGGTGCAACCCATACCTGTGTTCCAACAGGGCCTCCCAAGTGTCCAGAAGGCCTTGTATGGGACAGGTATCACTGCGTCAGCCGAAGGCCGGCGACGTGTCCCGAGGGCTACACTCGGGTTGGTCCCACGTGTATCAGCAAAAACGACCCTCGGTGTAAAGAGGGATTTGTCTTCGATGTTAAGTCCCAAGGCTGCGTTTCCAAAGATGAGCCTAAATGCCCTGAAGAGCTTAGCTTTGATGGAACGAAGTGTGCCTCTCCAAGATCTCCAGAGTGTACTCATGAAGGGACCACGTACGATCCGAAGACACAATCTTGCATCGCAGCGCCACCTGGCTGTCCCGAGGGCACTGACTTCAAGAATGGCGAATGTGTGCTGAGGACACCACCACAATGCCCTGACGGTACTGAACTGAAGGATGATTCCTGTGTTGCGATCAGGGGTCCTGAGTGCGAAGATAGTCTCACCATGGTTGACGGACGTTGTGTCTCTGAGAAGCCGCCTACTTGTGGTGACGGAACCACCTGGGATGGATCTCGTTGTGTTATTGGTACCAGAACTTCATGCTTCAATTTGGAGGTATGCCCTCCTATTGGGGCTGCTGCTTTGCCGGCCCCTTCACCTGAGGTTTAGTACTCAATACGCCACTATCAGCTTCAACGGCTATCTGTATATATGGAGCGTTAGCTATCTATCTTTGAGATATTTCCTTAAATCTATCATTTTTCTTCTTCAAGTGCCAACTCTAAACTAAGACTCTCGATACTGTGCGTTATCTAGGTGCCGTAATTCATCTTGTAGCTGGACTACATCTCTGAGTAAATATATAGAACTTAGAACAGACTTTCCAGCACTGCCCTCTTGTTTTTCTGATGTTTTAATGGCAGTAAAGCTTTCCTGCCCTCTCTTTTACTTGTTTTTCTTTTCCACTTCTGTTAATTGTGGCAGTCTTACGATCGTATTCGTCACTATGAGTATTCTTATTACTCTTCCCAGAAATCCACTTATCTCAATGCTTTCTGCTTCCGTGATATAGCCCCTTACTGGCAGCTGCGCTACTTATATAATGCTTTTGCACTTGTACATCATAACAGCAAACTCGACGGAAACTATGTTATTTACCTGCCAAAGAAGTTCCAATAACGTGCTGGAAACCGGCTAGCTGACCTGAATTAATAAGATGCAATCCGTCGTTGATTAGATCCAACAATAGGTATTAAATCAAGTCGATACAGAGCTTGTTCACAAACGGCCCGTGACTAATCCCTTTCCTGTGTTACCTACTGGTTGAGTAAATGTCACTGAAGCACATATACTTTAGCCACGAAGGGCTTAAAAGTCAGGTCGTGATTCATAGCTAAGTCTATCTTATTGTAGGCAATTTGCATAAAAGGCTAGCTCCCGTATGTCCGGGAGCAATGCATGATTAGAATGAAATGTTTCAATGTAACTCTGTGCCACGTTGAGCAGGCCTAGTCATCAACTTTTTATCAGTTGTGAATTACTCGGAAGGAAGCGAAACCGCATGACATGCTGACGCTGCACTGCGTCTGCCACGTTGTTCGATCTTCGTTGTTATACTAAAACGACATCCAGCTCAATAGACAACAGACGTAAGAAACATATCTCATCGTCTGTTCCCTACCACCCTTTCTATCTTGTTCACTGTGACCTTCAGAATGGAGACCGGCCTCAAACGTCATGTCTGCCAGCCCATCATCCACGGACCCAATGGTCTACTTGAGAAATCTCCTGAGAGCACCTTAACCGTCGAGAAGCTTCTGGAGATTGACAACAAACCACCTGCACCTGACCCATCAGAGATGAATGTCCCCAAGTTCAGTTTCTGCTCCGATTGCGTGTGTCAGACAAACCATCGTGCCCCCTCCTCATCTGATGACATTTGTTTGTAGGCAGATCCTATGGGATAGCCTGTAGTTGCGTTGGCGAGGGCTCTTATCTAGGAACGGAAGTCCACTTTGAGATTACGGACACCATCGGCCACTGGGAGCCACAGCCCGTACGAATTGATCGGTCTGCACCGCGTCCATCCGTGAACTCCATGCCTGTCACTGGGTTCATCAAGACCGAAGCGCACGACTTGAGAGCATATCTCGGGGCCAAACTTTCACCACAGCATCGCGCCACAACATTGACCTACAATGATAAGTATGCCAAGTGGGTCTATGGCGAGGTCATGGCTCCTAATGCCACATTTTCTTTCCACTGCAAGTTCCGAAAGTTGGGAGGCAGAGGTTAAGCATCTGTGGCTCAGTTCCCCGATAGCATCTGCGCCGATATTTGTGAGTGCGATGTACTTGACACAAATGATCCAGAGCCATTTAACTGGGGTTTAGTGATGGCGTAACTGAGGAGATAGGAAGAAAACGACAGGAAGAGTAGGATGTACAGGCTGAATTTAAGGTCAAGGTACGCCCTGTGCTCAAAAATCAAGACTTCAAGTTTTGTTTGTTATTTGTAGAAGGTTAGGAACTGAGGTCAATCTTTGAAACAAAGCTATATCGTAACCCTTGAGATATTGCGTAGTGCTTGAATAATCCCATACATCAGGCCGCTCCGGTGTAGATCTTCTAGTGATCTATATAAGAGCTACGCTGGTTCAATGATGCTGCAAAAAAATAATGCCCCGTTGTTTCTGCCAGATAAGTACAACCTGGACAGATTTCGGGACACGGCTTAATCTTCAGCAATGGCCAGAAACGGAAGAGTCCTATTCTTGAATCATATGGTAGAGATCCTAATTGTATCGCTATATTTGAGGCAAAAGGGCAACGGGTTATCTTTCAAGTTTAGTGTGCGGCACAGTCGAATGATATCTCACGGTGAGTTTTTCTGCTCTTGACAGAGCAGGAGAGGTCATAATGTCAGATCATCAAAGTCCAGGATGATACGAAGAGTGGATACTCACATGCATGACACATTGGCTCTCGGTCTCACAGTAAGCACTATCCGCACAGCCAGAAGTGCGGAAAGCAACCGCCTTGTGCAAGCCACTATGCTAAACTTTACCTAACCTATCAACCTTCGTGTTTCGGTATAAGACCTTGAGGCTATTTTTAACTCCCCAGCAGTCAGCATGGTATTCAGCCACTTTTGAGCGTGTTTGTTGTTATGGAGATGGCAGTGCCACCGCTACCGTTCTACTTATTGGCTAGCTTCTCAATCGTGCAGAAATGACTTATGATAAGACACAAAGATAGGCATACCCAAGTAAGAGCGCAAGCAAGGCAGGGAAAATAAAGTCCTTATGCGTCCCTTGGCAACGGACTTGGACTTTTGGTCAGAAAGCATCAAAATGGATTTTCCTCTCCAATATAAAACTTTTGAATACAAGGCGCTTCCATCGCCGACATCTATACGCCTCCTACGGCCAGTCGAACAACTGAAAAGCCCGGAAGCTGCTTCTATCAATGGGGTTCCCCTGTTGCAATTTGTGCTTGAAGCCTCGGAGCGTAATGATCGACCTCTCTACGATGCCTTATCTTATACTTGGGGAAACCCGAAACCTGTCCGGCACGGATTGCCCGACGAATACGATACTCAGCATAAACATGTTATAGCTGTCAATGGCCGCCTATTCTATGTCACAAGGAACCTTTACGAGGCCCTTTGTCGGCTTCAAGAGCCCTGTAGATCGCCGGAAGATATTAATAAGCGATATAAACCCTGGAACAAGACGAGGCTCATACAAGCTGCTGAGGAAGGAAACTTGACCCTGGTTATGAGATATCTTGAGCAGGGCGCCGACCACACATGCCAAGACAAGTTTGGTGAGACAGCTCTGCATTACGCAGCCGAGAATGGGTATCCAGAGGTTGTGAAGGCCCTTCTTTTCGCAGGAGCACAGCCAGCAACCCTGGACAACACCAATCGCGACCCTCTAGCCTGTTGTATTTCACGGAAACGCCGCCAGTGGGATGAAACTTGCGAGATCCTACGCAATTGGGTCGCTCAACCCAGAGGCAGATCTCATTTGGAAGCGTCTACATCTGGGAGAGGAGTACCTCTCTGGATTGATGCCATATGTATCAATCAGGATGACATTGCTGAACGCAATAGCCAAGTTGCAATGATGTCGCAAATCTATGGGTCGGCGCGATGTGTTGTGGCATGGCTTGGAGAAGAAGACGATACGACTAACGCGGCTTTCAATTGCTTGTCAAACATCCCCCAGCCATCGACTGCTATTGCTAGAAGCTACCATAACTCTTATGCACGGTACTGCGATCATGTGAGAGGGAAAGTCCTTGACGTAAATGAGAGGCCTCACAATCTCCCCATGTCAATTGCCGAGGTACAAGCTGTGAAGAGCTTATTTACCCGCACCTGGTTCTCACGTACATGGGTCATCCAGGAAGCGTCACTTGCCAGAGAGATCGACATCATTTGTGGCTCCTTTCATTTTGAGTGGTCGAGTATATTCACCCTGTTGTTTATGCTTTTTGGCGAGAGCGGATCGAATGATATACTAAGCGATGGTGGTCCCCCTGCAAAATTCGGAAAGGCTGGACCAAATGCACAAATCTTGACTCTTTTCGCCATCAGAAGCCGAACTGCCCCCAATTCCAGAGAAGCAAGAGAAGCAAGAAAGTATTTTCTTGGAAAAGACATCGTCAACCCTCCGTGCAGTCAATTGAGCATACTTGCCTTGTTTCTTCTCACTTGGGACTTCGCTGTGTCTGACGGGAGAGACAAGGTATTTGCATTGATGAATGTGTCAGAGCCTTCAGAAGGATTAGCAGCTGACTATTCGAAGTCAATCGCTGAAGTGTTCACCGAGATGGGCATGACCCTTCTCCGTGCCAAGGGATACAATAAAGTTCACGATTTACAGGGGGAGATAGTCGACGATTTGGACCCCTCGAATTGCTATCTTTTGTTCAAAAACCTGGGACTCCACAATGGAAGGTAAGTCCAGCGGTTATGAAAAATAAGTATGAACGCCCTGCGGGTCTTCCATCTTGGGTTCCGGCTTTCAATGCGCAGCTGGTTTCTATTCGAATCTATCATAAGCGATACAATGCTTCAGGAAGTCGTCAAGCGGTCATCCATAATTCTCTGCCAGGGATACTAAAGGTTGATGTTTCAATTGTTGACACAATTGCTGAGGTAGAAGAATATCCGCTATCAGAAGGCTATGGGCGTATAAACAACGACTGTACCATCGAATCATGGCTGACGATAGTATCGAAGCTCTGTACTACTTATCCCAGTGGAGAAACTCGTACCGAAGCACTGTGGAAAACCTTGGCATCAGAGCATCACAAAAAGAGCAAGAAGCCAGAAGCAGTCGAAAGCTATTTGCAGAATATCGTACTTCAATGGATTGTCAAACACAGACGTCAAGACTCTATTGAGAGGCATACAGACCTATGCAAGGTTCTCCAAGAATTATTCAACATGGACTCATCTTATTTGCCTCCTCTGATCTCTAAATTGATGAGCAGTAACAATGAGCCTATGGGCGAATCCTCGGAGATAGGGGCTGATGAGCGATACTTTAGATGGGGCTTGATGCGATACATGAGGGGACGATGTCTGATGAGAACAGAACTAGGCTACTTGGCGATATCATCTAAGGAGACAAGGCCAATGGACCGCGTAGTAATCATCGCCGGGGGGCGTACACCGTTCATTCTTCGTCAGATAAGCGCGAACCAGTATGCCTTTGTAGGCGAGGCTTATGTCCATGGGATAATGTCGGGCGAGTGGTTGAGAAGAGAAGATTACAACTTTCAGCCCGTTGAGATCAGATAGTTAGACCCTTTTTAATATAATTTCTTATCTTTACCTGAGAAAGCAACTGCCAGACATAACTGCGTTTATGAATCAATACACAGAATGCAGCTCATAAATGCTTAAACGCGCTAATTCGCTCCCTGAGTCCTCCCGGCCCGAAGAGCCTTCATCTGCGGTCTCAGGATAGCGCACCTCACGCGGGCCTGGAAAGTCTGACTGGTGCAACTTCCTGTAGATATTGTAGCCTGCCAGCCACTAGCGCTGTTGTTCCTGGTGTCCGTAGTGATTCTTGTGGACATAAAGTATACACCTGAGGCCGGTTTTGATGTGAAGCACATGGCGGCCTCGAAAAGCACATCAAAGTTTACACCAAACGATCCTTGTAATTCCAGTGCGACATCATTAACCTTCTTACCAGCGTGTTCCGGCTATACTCGAGTGTGCCGACTCCGACACGCCACCACTGGGGTATTCCCATGGACTACAACATGCACTGGTACTCTTCCTGACCTGAAAATAGCGCTTCTATCAAGCGGAGACCTTCTAGCTATGCTAAAAGCTATCTAAACTCGGCATCTGCCCGCGGTCTCTGCTGGCCTAGACAGACCCAGCCCCTGAAGATCGGGCTTACCCAGCTAGTCGTTGGCCGGGTGTGTAGGGCCTCTGGTGTCCTATTTCTGGGACTCTCTGTCCGACTTTGGCGACACCGAAATAAAGATCTGGTTGCAAAAGGACGACGAAAGGGAGGAGAGGTTGAGTGACGATGTTCGCTAAGATTAGCGGTTGTGGCCCGTTGTACAGCTCGTGTACCCCCATTCTTTGCGTTCAGGCTTGGATAGTTGACGTGAATCTTGCTTACTCCGTCGACGGCCCCAACAGCACCAAAAAGCATTAGTAGGAAAGAAACCCTCATACACAGTACTCAATCAAGGCCCAGACACCGGCAACTCCTGACCGTGCGGCATCCGCGGCAGTATGTATGGGGCCGTTACACTCTCGACGCAATTTTAGGAGGATGATGATCTGCACCAGGAGCTCTGTTAGGGAAACTTTACTGCGTACCCCTTGAGAAACAGTCTTCATTTAGGCTTGTAGTGCGAGGAGAGGAGCAGGGCGTTATGCAGAGGCTAGGACATTTTAACAATGCGAGGTCACATTTTGAATCTGAAGACCTGTTTGATGTTGCCGAGGACTATAATGCTTACCAATGTGAGGACCATTTGACTTTTTGCCCTCAGCAAGGCGGACAATCCTGTTCGGGTAGGCAGTACCTGGCACAGTACTCGGCATAGGTCTCAATGAAACCATGCGTTGAGACAGCATGAATATAGGGCTTCTCACAAATCACAACGAGCAACTTGATGAATAGGCAGACGGCGGGCACTATGTAGGCTAGTAGTGGGCAGATGCTAAAAGCAAAAGAAAGCGCCTTCTGCTAACGCTGAGCTCAAAGCTCTTTTTTTAAAAAAAAAGCTAATTACTCAAGCATATGGAATTCGCCTAATCGAGTCACAGCTAGACGAAAGTTTTGTGATTAAAGTAGGATACAACTATTACATGCGAGTGTATTGACCGATGATCTGGCTGTGTAGGCAGCGCAGCCACAATTCCCTAAGAAATTGATAAACGAGCATGACCACGAGGTTAACGTCGTTCCCCAAGCTAGCAACAGTGCAGATTGAACTGTCAGAATGCGTCGTGGGGTTATGATCCTTATACTATATAGGACTCGAATTGACTGAGCTGCAGTACGAAATATGGTGGCGACAGACTATTAATTGCTGAGATGCACGCAGAAATGGTGCTGTTGGGTAGATCGGAAAAGAGGCCATTTACCACTGCTGTCCACAGCAGAAAGGACTATCTTTTGTGGAATTGTAGATTCGCAGGAGTTTTATTAATTGATTTATACATGTTCCAGAAATCAGCAGCTGCGTGAGATTTGCACAAGCGGCCAGCTGGCTTTATAAAAGGTCACACCAGCTTCCAGGAGCAGCGCCAGTGTTTCGAGACGCACGCCGATTCTGATGGCTCGACTCAGAAGGCCAGGTAGACCTTTTGAAGTTACTCCATGCGACAACAACAGGCAAATAATGTTGATGTCGGGCCATGATTCTGGTGCGATTAATGAATTACCGCAGCATTCTTCTTGGGCATGATAGTTGCGTTAGGATCGGCCCATTCTCTCAAAACATGCGCCGCCCCTTCTTCACGACATACCATTAGTGGTGTCATTCCTGCTCCGTTTAGTGCTCTACCATCAGCTCCCTTGGTAAGAAGGTATCTCAGGCCTTCAGTTCGCCAGGCCCCTTTACCATCAGCTAGGAAATGAAGAGCTGTTCCCTCGTGATGCTCATAGCCCTCAGAGCCGGATATGTTGTACCTAGTATTGATGTCAACGCCTAGCCCTTCTACGAGGACCTCGATTACGTGTAAGAAGGGTTCTGGGTGCAGACATGCCCGACCTAGCAGCGTGTCACAAACAGCCTTATCTTGGAGCTTCATCAAATCGGGGGCTAAGCAATGCAGAAGTTCTAGGCACTCCCATTCCACCAGAAGATCAACGAAGTGGAGGTTTCCAGTCCCTTGTAGGTAAAGGTTCCCTCCTAGCCGGGCATACTCCTTGACGCTGTCGTAATCACCGTCCTGCAGCGCAGCAGTAAGCATGCTAAAGCCGATGAAATCGCTTTCCCCATCCTCGCTTGCAGCCATCTCATCCAGAATCATCTGGCCGCCAGTGACGAAACGGGTCTCTGCTTCCCAGAGTATTGTCCTGTCAGCGGCCCAGCGACCTCTCCAACACGGACTTGCCGCTGCGGAGCTTTCGATCTGGGGTATTAATTGCTGAACTCTTCTGGCTTCCTCCGCAGCTTCGTTCTTATCTGTTGCCAAGATAAATTCTCGGGGCAGGTTGTAAGACTCGTGTGGTTTTGCCCCCTTTGCTAACAGCTCACGGACCAAAACCCAATCCTGGCGTTCCACCGCTGCATCTAACGGCGTAACGCTCTCCGTCCCTTCATCACCATTTCTTCCACTACTTGTGGCCCTGGCCGCGACATCTGCACCAGCTCTCAGCAGCAGGCCGACTATATCAATGGTATGGTCGCCAGGCAGCGGCAAGGACTTAGCGTGCCTTTGAGTACCCCCGTCCGCTAAAGTGTGCAACGGCGTCAGTCCTATGTCGTCCCTGATGCAAGGGTTGGCGCCGTTACGCAGCAGAGCCCAGATGGTAGCTAAATTTCCTGATCGACAAGCGTAGTGTAGTGGCGTGCAGCCGTTGCCTAGCATATTTATATACTCTTTGAGTACACGGCGCTTTCGGAGTGCGGCTAGAAGCAGGAGAACACTGTTGATATTACCTTTCTGGGCCGCAAGGTGAAGTCCTGAAAGACCGCTGGGCGAAACGACTGTTGGATCTGCGCCGGACTGTAGCAGAAGCATGGCGCTGTTATCAAAGCATTCCGCACCATAATGCAGTGGCGTGAAGCCGCTTACATCCTGTTCATCAAAGTTCAGACCCTTAAAATATGGCGCTGTGAGGATAGCTTTGAGATCATCCTCGCACCTTGAGAGGTGTAAAACAGTCTGCCCTTTGGCGTTCTTTTCCAGAGGTGGGACGCCAATACTGACCAATATTCGGGTAAGTTCCTGCAGCGAGCGAAAGGAGCGTCTGACCGACCCCTGAAAAAACGCATGAATGGGAGTATTACCCTCTACGTCAACCGCAGCTGCGTCCGCATTCAAGTTTAGGCCTGCTGAGGGACTGGGTGGATTGCAACGCGCTTTGGCTATAGCATGTAGCAGCGTTGAGCCACTGCGGGTCCGCTCCCTGGGGTTTGCGCCGAGGCGGATGAGCTTGGAGAGGGTAACAAAGACCCTGGAGATATCAGAGTTCTCAACGATGTTCCACAGGATAGTCCGACCTTCAGCATCCTTCGAATTGAAGTCCATTCCGAAGCTATGAAACAGGTCGAGAAGTCTGTGGAGAGTCTTGCACTGCTTGGAATAAGGCGAGTACGCGAGATGTTGCCACGACTTGCACAGAAGGATTGGTGGCTGGCCGCTTAGGTCTTTATGATTGATGTCTATACCAGCTTGCAATAGCTTCCTTGCAAGAGGCAAGCACTCAGAAGTGCAGAGGTACCTCAGGCTCTTAAAAATGTAGTGGAAGAT